TAATTAGAACTTTGTACAGAGACTGGAAATTAGCTGAAATACCCAGACATACTGAAATAGGAACCTTCCCCCTCCCCCCCCAATTACATAAAAGCTATAATTATATTGGTTACATAAACATTTTAACTGGGGAAAACATTAGATAATTGAAGACACGCCCTCCCCCAAACCCCCGTTAACCACCACTCACAGCACAGCAAGAGTAAAATTAACTCAGCAAATCATGTTCATTCTGAAAGCTGCTTCCGTGCATGGATGATGCTGTGCTGCTCGCTCTTTCGTTCCATTGTTGAAGGAAGGATGCTAAAGGAAACCATTTGAGACTATTTTGAAGTTCACCTTTTGTTATGCAGTTGCATACATTATTTTTTCAATCTGTTTAATCAGTGTCAAGAGTCTACCCCATAAGAAATCAGATAAAGAGCAAAAAAATTACTTGACATACTGAGTAATTGCTTTGTGCTTAGCCTAGGCTCCACCTTTGCTGACAGAAAAACGGAGAGATTCTGAGTTGCAAAGGGCCATACAGCTGATCCACTGCTATTCAACTTACGGTTGAATACAGAATAAATCAATCACAATAAAGGAAGTAAAATTACTATGGAATATGGCCTGACCCACTGGTACATTGATTTATTCTGAGGCAAGATGGAAACTGGTCTGACAGGGAGCAAACAGCCCCGTTGCTATACAGTCTGCACAGCTTTGCAGGTGTATCTTGGCTGAGCCTGACAAGAACATCATCCTGTCACTGCTCTCAGTCAGTGCCAGGCCCTTCTGGTAAATACACTGTCAAGGGTGCTGGTCAGGATCAGCTACTAAATTCCTACCGGGCAGGAATGGGACAGACAGCACATCAGGCTTTGAAGTTTCAGCCCAAACCAGCCTCCACAGACCCAAGAGGGTGTTTTTGAGACAAGGAGGGGAGATGGAGGGGTGGAGAACAGCCATGTGTGAGGGAGGGGAGAAAGGAAGTCTCCATTTTTCTTCTTTTAAACAACAGCAGCACGATTTCCGGATATAGCTCTAAGAACAGATTGATTCTGTATCAGTGCCTACAGCTCCCCAACAGCAAAAGGCTGGCTCAGCAGAGTCCAACTCCTGCAGGTCACTGGATGCTGCACACATTTCAGCTAGTTCGATATGGAGAGGGCTGTATCGCTCTCAGGTGAAAGGCAACAACTCCTACAGAGCACGATAAGTGGCGTAACACAGTTCTGTGAGTGCCTAGGTAGCGTTTTTCCCTATGCAGAGAAATGCAATAGTGGTCCAGGACCTAATTTGTATAACAAGCTATTTAAGAGGGAAGCTAATTGAAGTATATAAATCCTGAAGAGTACCACATCAAGCCAAGATACTATTATTAGCCCAACCTAGATGAGGTTATAGAAGTGCATTAGAAAATCTCAAAAAAAAAAAAAATTAGTAGGAAACTTTTCCTACTTCAAGATCCCATGAGACAAATTCTCACAAGCAATAATTAGATATTATCCAGAATAATAAAAAAAAGAATACTAAAAATGGATGTGGAGAAGGAAGGCAGAAAAAGCATAAGTTCACCTAAATGGGTCACAACGTGTCCCTAACATTCACTGTCAGTAAGTTTGAGAGGTAAGAGTTCATAGCCAAGCAACGGAGCGGCAGCTGGAAGTAAAATTAAAGTAAAATTAAACTATAATTCTGTAAGATTTTTTTTTAATTACGTACTACTTACGTAAAAAGTTGATGTAAAGTTAACTGATCCAGCAGCACTTGCAGCAGTGTCCTCCAATAAACTCTGGTCTAGTCCTTCCATTACCTGTCCTAAGCACATGGAATTTTGCCCTCTGACAGCTTTTACTGATCCTACAGAAACAGCATTTATGGGCATCTCCACCCTCGTGATATGATCAGAGTGGAGGGTGCAAGGGCACACCTCAGTTTCTGTTCCAGCCATCACAACCCATGAGGGGCATGTGGACATGGACAGAAAGCCACAGCTGAGAAACTAAAAGCAACAAGGTAAAAAACCAACCAACCAAAAAACCAAACCAGAGAAAGGAACAGGAAGAATGAAAAGTGTGTGCAGTGAAGAAAGGATGCTGAGGTGAAGCAGGGCAAGGGAAACACGAAGGAGCACCACACACTATTTCTGACCCTGGAAGTTAAGTCTGTAACCCTGGATGGAAACAGCATAACTTTGTGCCCATGCAGCACCCACTTCACTTTAAAGAGACAACCACTTTAACATAGTTCCGCTGCACGCCCTGGGGAGTACATCTACTTTAAAGGTCTTCCTTCTGTAACCTTCAAGCTCAAGCCTCATTTGGAAAAGAAAAACACATCTTGCTGAAGAATTTCTTGGATCAGCTTCTCTACAGACAGATTTAGGACTAGCTTCCTTGTCAAGGAGTACATGCAGAGTTCTGCGTTTCTGTGAAAGCTAATCTTTTGTGCCACACTTGGAACAAAACTTCCACCATTCCCTGCTGGCATACCGAGAGCAAGTGGAAGTACTGTTTTACGCTGTTCCAAGTGTGGTACCATTTACTTCCAGCTCAAGCCATGTGAATATATACCTGGATTTTACTAAAAGGAAAGAAAAGCAGCTAGGTAACAAGACGACAAATCTAGGAGACATCCATGCCTATTCAAATACGAAGCGCCAGGGAGGCAGCATCCCTCTGCTAAGGCAGTGGCTGAATACAAGTGTTAGGTTCCAGGCACACTCTGTACCTACGCTATGGAGGCTCTGTAAAAGCAGCTCAACATTCCATTATCTTTTTGGCCATGATTTATCTCTTTTTTGTGGTAAGACTTCTTCCTGCTTTCTGTTTGCACATGAAGTTGCAGTGAAGCAGGATGAAAATGCCACTATGCTTCACGTCTAGCTTGTAGTCCATCATAATCTCCTTTTCTTAAAATAAAGGCTGGCCTCCCTCTGGTTTTCAGGTTGCTCTTCAGAGTATGGTACAAACTGTGTCACTCCATAAATGCTCTCTGAGAAGCAGGTCATGGGTTGTTATGCTAATACAGCAACCTTCATGCAGCCTCATGCACAAACTAATACAAAGCACTGTCGTTGCTAACTTTATCTGTTGCCTTTGCACAGGTCCTGAAGAACTAAGGGACGTATACAGAATTATCAGCAGTATTTTGCCTTCACCCTTTTCCAGCGAGTAAATAATTTAAATCCTTTACCTTTGGCAGTAAGTTTTATCAGCACACCTTCACCTGCTTTAACAGCACATCCCAGGCAGCGCTATTCTGCACCACACCTTCACGGAGAACACTCATGTGTAAAGTCAAGGAAAAGGCCGGTTTTCATTTTCAGCATAAAGCAGTTGTTTACTTGAAGAAAATCCAGGAAACCCAATTCAACTGCACCTCATGTGAAGTATGAGATTATTGGACTACAGTCACAAGAGTATTTCTTCTCTTAGGGGCAGATTATTTTTTTACATTAAGCACCTATAAATATATTTGAGAAAGAGAAAAGGTTCTGTTGAAGATTATCTTTTTCTGTTTGTAAATCAGAGTGAATTCATAAATCTTGGCTGGGCTTTTAATTTGCTAGAGAGTATACATATACACACACACACACACATATTTACAGCCCAGAGAGGTAGTGGAGGCCCCATCCCTGGAAACATTCAAGATCAGGTTGTATGGGGCTCTGAGCAACCTGATCTAGTTAGCGGTGTCCCTGCTCACTGCAGGGGGGGTTGGACTAGATGACCTCTAGGGGTCCCTTCCAACCCAAAACATTCTATGATTCTATATATACACACAGACACATATATAAAATCTAATCCAGTCCTTACACAGAACTCTGCCAGCCAACATCCTTAGAAAAAAGAAATTACACACACAAAACGCCAAATCCTAAATAACTCTTTAAAAATGGAAGTTATGTTGTCCCCTTAGATTGTCTCATTAAGAATGAGGTTAGATTGCAATCATTTGCCATCTTCATTTATTCTCCATGAATAATAAAGTTATTCAGCTCAAGAGTAGCAATCTTACCTTCATGGAAGACATAATCCGGGCATTTTTAATGTGACCAAAGGCAAAAAAAAAAAAAATCAATACCAATTTGATTTCCCTGTCACTACATCAAGATAAGCAAGCTGACTTACAGGGAAAGGTAGAGGCCAATGTCCAATATTCATTAAACCGAACAGGCCAGTGATTCAATACGTTCAGGCACTGACATTTTTAATGCTGATAAAAATAATTTTATATAAGATGAATGCCAGAGACTTGATTTACTTGAAAAAAGCCCTGACAATTTTGGTATGGTTCCCTAGAGCACAGTAGTTACACAGAACATTTATTTATCCTTATTCTCACTAATATACTGTTACTGCAAAAAAGCTTTGGTTTATAGTCATAGCATAAGATGAAAAACACAGAACAATGGAAAAACAGGCTAAGCAAGATTTCGTTATTCTTACAAAATGTTTCTCTCTGTTAATATTCTTGTTCTCAAGAAGCTAATGAAGGGACAGCCGCGAGGGCAGCTGCACGCACGTACACCTTCCCACATTCAGTGTGCCCTGCAATAGCCAGTTTCAACACTGATTAATGACACCATTGAAATGCAGTGAAACTTAGGTGTGCTTAAGTTCCTACTTTAAGTTCAGTAGCCACAAAACATCCTCGGCTGAAGAACAGTTGCCTGTTATTTCACTTGCCTACAGATATACAAGTTAACACTAACACACTTGGCAAGTTGTATTGACCAATATAAAACCTAGAAACCAACACTAATTTCAATCTAAAACTGCTTTTAAATTTGAAACCCTCCCCAGAAACCCTAATCAAACAAAATCTCCCAAACCCAACAGTGTCACAACCCAAACAGTCACCGGCATTCAGCACGGATATTTCCAGATTTCAAGTTTCTCCAGGTTTTCCTGATCTATATGACATTACCGTCTTTAGAAAACATAAGGAATCAAAGCACTCAACTCAGAGAAACAAGAGGTTGGAGATGAAGCAAATTTATTGTTCCAAGTATTGAAGTTAGGCAGTATTTTAAATCAACAGCCACACACTACTGTAACATGGTATATATATCATACAGCCTTGCAGGTAACCCATGGTTTAGAAAATCAAAGATGCCCCCTGCGTAAAGGACAGGAAGAGAACGGCATCGCTGAGGTACTAGTCCCATTTCTTTCAGGCAATTTACTGCATAGATATCTAAGGCTAAGGAGTTCTGACATTTTTCTGAACATAATGAAAATACGTTGTATTTGGAACCAAAGAGCAGCGTTTTAGACATGCACTGGTAGAAAACATCCTGTGTACAATTTGAGATGCTAAAAGTACCATACACAACTTAGATGTTAATCTAAAAGCATACTAATTTAATTTCACTGTTTGTTTTTTTTTTAAAAAGTCGATGTGGTCTTATTCATAAAAGTGGAATTCTCAACATTCAGCTGTGGTGGGTATAACACGAACATACACAGTCTTCATGTTCAAGTTCTTCATGGAGATGTCCTTTGTGATCTCTGAACCAAAAAAAACCAAGAGAGAAACAGAACATAGTCAGTGCTTTTGCTTACAAGTCAAACTAGCAATGTTCCCCCCCCTCCCTGCCCCTTTATTCAGACAGTTCTACTGGTTCGATCAAAAGGGGACTTGGACAGAAACTGCTCAGCTCAAAATTCCCTCTTGTTAAATCCCGGTGCATTGAAGGGAGGGTCACCCCACCTCAGGATTGCTGCTGCAAGAGTTGAAGATACTGTTCTAGGTACAGAGCAGAACGCGTTGACAGCCCATGTCAGCCCACAGTTCCCAGCTTCACATCCACACAGAATAACCTCTAGTTCAGAAAATTATTTTATAATGCAATGAAATATTAATGATGCAAGAGAATGCACTGAAAACCAGAGTCCCCTATAAACTGTACGCAAGAATGGCCGTACAGAGGTGCCTCTCCTCTAGTATCCCATCTCTGACAGACAGTTAAACAGTGCGCGTGTGAAGGAGTACAAGAATAAGAACTTGCATACATTAACCTGAGTTCTATACATAAAGCAAGGATTGTCGTAGTATCTGCTGAAAAAGTCATGTTGCAATCTTGTCGAGTATGCCTGAAGAATTGTGTACCATAGCAGATCAATTCCTGAAGTCATTTCATAGCTATATGCACATCATTTGGAACAGTAATAGGATCAAGTCTCACCAACAAACCTCTTTTAAGGATATGGCAAGTTTCCAGCAGGCTGATTCAAGGTTTGTAATTATTTATGAAACACTAACACAGAGTAATCGCACTTTGTGGCTATAGAAAAAGTCATCTGCAAAGTTGGTAGGAGCTGGAAATCTCTTTCACCATTCTTGCCACTTTACAGAGCACTTTTCCTCAGAAGTCAGATGCTTGCTAGCTCAATGCTTCCCAGCACCCCTCAGCCATAGCCAGCCCCCCCAGTAACAGCGCAGATTGTTTTGAATACTGGGAGGTACGGCTTTGGAACAAAAGTACTCTGAACAACATATAACAGAGGTCTCAAGTGGTGAGAAACTTGAAAGCAGTAACCACAAATACATCCACTGAGACCAAAGCAAAAGCATATCGGGGGGTTACAGTGTTGCTCTGCACTAGAATCCCTGTAGACAACACAAGCAAATAAAAGATAATTTTAAATTTTGGCACTAGTGTTAGCACAAATGGCAGATTAACAACATCCAGAATGGCTGTGTCGCAGGACTGATGTCCAACAGTCCCCCTGCTCTGCCTCAGGCTCACCTCCAGCTGACAGCAACCAAGGCAGTGTGCCTATGTGTTGGGGGAGCCAAGTCTGTGAGGTACATCCACGGAGATGGTGGATCAAGAGCAGTTTACTTTTCAGTAACATGATGTCCAACTGAAAACAGATTCTAGAAATGGCAGCAAGGAGTTTTGTTTCCACATAACAGTATGCATGCTCCTAACATTAAGGGCCCCATCTTTCTTTGGAAAATATTTCATTTTTAGACTGAGCAGATATAGTCTGCAAAGTCCAAAAGCCGTCTATTAATTAAAGAATTAAGAAGCCCTGATGGATCATGATGGCACCGTTTTCAGGGAGTTCTCTTCCAGTATAGTGCTCTGCTTTAAGCAGCTGAATACCCATTTACAGAACAACAAGAGGGAAGGTATAATCCAATTCAGCAATTAGCGCTTTATTCCCTCATTAACCTTCCTTCCCTCCCCATGAAAATGTTACAGCAGTATGTAAAAAACTTGGTCTGCAGAAGCAGCCAAACAAACTACAAACCTGGCCTCAAAGTCTCTTTTTAATTATTTACTTTTTTTAATCCACGAAGCTACTATTTTTAACACTATTTAACACAATAATTACTTCTAGAAATTAGAAACTTGATTTATCAACAGAACATAAGGATACCCTCCTTTCTGTGCCAACCCCTCTGAAGGAAGGCTTTGAAGTTAGCACATTAAAAAACATTGCCTTCACCCCAAATGCATCTCTAAATCAGCTACCTGTAACACACATTTCAATCTCATGAGTAAGCAACGCTCACCACTTTGACCTTTTTTTTTTTATAGACGCTTTTCCCAATGTTCCAAAGGGGTGTGAAAACCACATTTGTTTCTGAAAAGCTGGCAAGCTTTGGTGCAACGGAGAGCAGATGCCCAACTGCCTGTACCTGACAACATTTATAATAATAATGTTTTCAAAACTGGTAACTCATTTTCCACGAAGGTTTTTGTTTTTTTGTTTGTTTTTTTTTTTCATTTTTTAAAACAGGCATCAACTTTCCAATTCATGGGTCATTTTCATCAGACATTTCAAATGGTTAACAGCAAATAATTTGTTGGTTTTAGAATAAACCATAAAAAACCTACTGAACTTTGTTTTGAAGGTAAGACCTCGAGACTGAACTTTTTTGGTTTGAAGGTAGGACCTTGAAGTACATTGATAAAAAGCTGCATAGGGGATTACAAAGTTGCAATGATATACATAACCATTAATTGAACTAAGGTTTTCCAGAAGCATCAAAATATTTGTTTTATATGCAGCACTTATTGATAATATAAAAAGATCTGAAGATAACGGAAGGCCATTTCAGTGTTTACATCATTTTAAAAAAAGTTATTAAAAGAGCTGTGTGGTGAGAATTAAATCTGAGATAGCAGAATCATAGTTATATGGCATAAGCATGTGTTAGCTATACAAATAAACCTCCAGGACTGAGTTCTCCACATTCTGAGTCTCAAAATAACCAAACAGTTGTTTCAGCCTTTGAAGAGTTATCAAATCTGATCTTTCACATCATCACAAATTGTCACTTTCTGCACTTTATTTATAAAGTTTAAATAGCTTTGGAGAATCCATCCTACAAATACGTTATAGTTTTAGGTAAGAGTTTTAAAAATTCTTACTGAAATTGAGACTTATAGGCTATAAATGTTCCTGTTTTGTCAGTTACTTCCCTCTTTCAGAGCTCAAAAGTTTTCTACAATACTTATTTTAGTATCTTAGCTGAGTCATAGGCTGCTGTGAACCCTTCTGCCCTGTAACAATCATAGAAACCAAAAAAGAATTACGTATAACATCAGTTGCTCCTGAATGGCTCAAAATTCCTTGTCAGCAAGGTTTCCCACATAAATACATTTTTTTCTTTAGGCAAATGAAGTGTGGTTGATACACTTGCTTCTTATACCCTGTGCTGTTTCTGAACACTACAGTCTCCAGTTCTGTTTGTTAACACCGTTCAGCACATTATTCTTAGCATTAGCTCAAACATCACTAGAAAGTCTCATCAACATTTGAGATCCATTTTACTTACAAAAACGGCTTTTGAATAAACAGAATTCAGGTCATTTGAAATTTTAAAAAAACAAACAAACAAACAAAAACAAACCAGCCAAAAATCCACAAGAAAAGAACCCACACCTTACTTGCTCTGATTCTAATCTATCCTACTTGAAGCCTTTCAACCCAGGTGGATGGCAACAGGACTCCAGTTTTGGAAAGCTACACTCCTCCCCTCGTGGCACCTCCCAACAAAATTCATCCCGTCCTCAGAATAGGTAACTAAACAAGATGTCTAACTTCTGGACAGGTAACCTAACGCATGGTAAGTTAGCATGTCACATATCCTTCCCAAAGCCCTTGTAAATCATGCCATTATGATCAACTGGAGACAGACTCCTTTACATCATTTCATTCAAAGAGTTAAATTGTCCTGAATACACAGAAATATCTGGGGTTTTTACCATGCAGTTTCCAATCCGTTCTTCCTGTCAGATAAAGTCCCAAATCTTTCTCAGGTCCAACTTTTTAGCACTACAGGCAGCTACATCTTGAGTCTTATCATTCTCATGAATCAGAAATTTTTGTTTCTAAGCCTCACCATCTGTCTGTGGTTTTGGAAGATTCTTTAACATTTCAGATCCGCACTATGTGATGAAGCTTCCTACTTCCCAGGTATTCTGAATGAATTGCAGCTGCTGTACCCTTCCCAGTCTGACCTACTCACACAACTCTAAAATAGATCTGCTGCTCTTTTCCACCCACTCCCATTCTCCAAAAGGAAGGGGGAAAAAAGAAAAATATCTGCAACAACATGAATGTTACAGGAAAATTTGAACAGGTTTTAAAAATATTCACACTTTAGATTTGCTCACTTGGAGGAGACTCACACTCTGCTTAGTCACAGCAGCAGGTAACTGTCATTTACACTGCAGATCGACCTTCCTGTGCCAACAGGAACTAAACTTTTACAGAACTTGTCTTGGCCATTTCACGAAGGGAATCCATTAGTGCTTTGAATTTCTGAATGTACATGTGTACCTAAAGGATTTTATTAAATAAATATTCAATTCCCGGGCAAAATTAGAAACCAATATGTAAGCAGAGTGCATTTAGTAATTAAAATAGATCTCAGGCTACATCAGCTGCTCCTCAACAAACTTCCAAGTATCCCTGGACAAGCAAACCAAAAGTTAGTGCTTACCCTGAGTTTGTGCTTCATCCAGGAACAATTTTAGCCTCCTGCTTCTGAGCCCAAAAACTTTTGCCGTTTCACGTAGAAGACCTCGGTATGTTAATCCATTCTGACCAACAGGGTTTTCCATTAGAAGAGTTCCCACTGTTCCCTTCTGACATTCTGAACAGGATAAACAGTTGAATCACTACATGATGAACTACAGAAGCTCACAAAGCACCACCTCCTGATGATCAAATCCCCAGTTAAAAACACATTTTTGGCCCAAGGAGGCTCCCAGTAGCGTCAATAAGATTCCACATGGACAGTCCAGGAAGGACTCACAGCAGGGCAGAGATTAAGAGTGAGTTACTAACAACAACACTGTGCCAACGTGAGGTTTCAGAGTAGAAGTTACAAGATTAGCAGCTGTGAATCTAAACTACACATATGTATCTATACTCCAGATCAGGTTAATACAACAATTCATTTGGCTTTTAAATAGCACTAAGAAATGTTTCACAGGCTGCGCACAATGTCTTGGTGAAAAGTTGGCACCTTCTTCATTTTTGGTCAGTTTTAGACTCAGCCTTGTAAAATAAGGTGAGCTGATGGTCGGAAACAGGAAAAGCAATGCTGAAAGGCTCATGTTCAAATGCTGTCCCTTATCTCAAACTGGCCCTCCTTTTTCTTTCATGAAATGAGGGAGAAAAGCTAAATATAACCACTGTGCTTTTCAGAAAGCAAATACTAGGAAAAAATAGTAAAAAAAAAAAAATCACCATCTACCACTGAAAACACATATACTTTTCCTCACCAGTAAGTGATGGTGTCCAAAATTTGTATGACAAAAAGCTCAGCCTGTAAATGAGATCAGGATCCCACCTACCTTGCGGTTTTGCATTCATTAACTGCAAGTTGATATACTGGCAGAGCAGAGCATCAGTAGAGTTGATCAGAGCAGGTGCTGACCCCTTTGTTGTCACATGAAGGGTCTTTCCGCTGAGACTAATCAAGTCAGTTTTATTTATCAGTTCTGAAAAAGAAAATGAGACCAGTCAGGCCATTACAGAGAAGTCAAGATCCAGTTCTCACTCGGTTAGCTGCCAATTAGCCTTTCTATCCACCGGTTCCACTGTGGAAGCACTTCCCTCTTCATAACTCCTTCCTCAAGAAAGAGCGTTTCTCCATTTTGAAAAATGGAATTGGTGCAGAAATATGTTGTTTTCTTAACAGCACAGAGTACTTCATCTGCTGTGGAAATTTGCTCCCTTTCTTATGCACGTAAATATACAACAATTTCACTGATGCAATAAAAATAGTTAAATAACTTAAAGCAAGCAAAATATTATTCACTTGAGCCAACTGTTTCTATCTCACTAAATTAAGATCTATGATCTTTGCCTCTGCCCTGACTTCCCTAGCTGAAGCAGCACTGTATAAGTGTTACTATGCAATACCAGGACACTTAACTCATTAAACTCCAGATGACAATAAATGTAAAATCAGTAGCTGGTTAGCTCATGAATAATGCCCTCTGCATTAATGTTTGTGTTTAATGTCAATAGCTGATGATTCAGCAGACGATTCCAGCCAGGCATGTTTAGAAAATGGTGGAAGAGCAGACCCAAAGGACCCATGTCTCAAAGGATTTTAGAAGTGATACCAGCACCCTGAAAGCACTCAGATGAGAAACTAATGAGGTTTCTGTAGCACAAATTAAATATGTAAGGCTGCATTCTGCACTACCTACAGGAGCAGCTGCCTGTCTGTCAAAGAGGTAAAAAAAGCTGCTGATAGCCACAACATTAAAGATACAGAAAAATAACATCACTCTCTGCTGCAAAGCTTTTGCAGCTACAAAAGAACTCCAAAAACCAAATCTAGAAGGAATTAATACATTCAATTTCTTGTAAAAATTGTGTATTGCCTGTATGCAAGGAACAGGCACATCTGTCTTTCCAACAGCTTTTCATTCCTGTTGTGGTTTCGGCTGGCATCTCCCAAAGCCTAAGCTTTATAAAGCTCATTTTCCATCAGTTCATCTGATTGTATTTCAAGGGGGCAGAGGGGGCACTCCTTTTCCCAAGGATGTCTGTAAATGTAAAAATGAAAAACCCACAAAAAACCCCAAACCAAACCAAAAACCAAACAAAAAACCAAACCCCCCAAAAGGTGAAGAGGAATCATAGGCTACAAGCTTACAAGCTCACAAGCTCTGAAAATGTTGCCAACTGTCACAGAACATCAAAGGGCGATGCACCATGGAAGTCTTATGAGACTGCCCTAAGGAAGGATGAATACCTCAGACTGCATCTAAGACTCTAAATTGTTGTCTTTTAAAAATATATAAAAATATAAAAATAATATATTAAATATATTAAAATATGTATATAAAACTTTAAAGAAAAAGGCAAAATTTCATTGTTGCTTCTAAAATTTTCAAGAATGAAAAATTTACAATGATGGTGGCCATCCACCAGCTACCCAGACACTTCTTCGGTATGTCTGAGGTGCAAGGCACATGCTCGAGCACAGGACAGGGCTTTGCTTTTGGTTTTACTTAGAGGAAAACAAGAAAATAACTAAATGAACAAGTGGGGAGGAATTAACAAGATTTCATCACATAGAAAGGGAGCTGGCAGAAGGTTTTTCCTAGCATAACCCTAAGGCACCATTGCTTGCCACTTACATACAATCCTCAGGTCAGGGGTAGGAGGCAGCACCAGCAAGCAGGGTGCTTTACAGGGCAAGAAACGCACGGCTCAGGGAACTTGAGCTTGACATCACCCCGCTGCTGGGATCGGTGCAGATCTACGCAGGGCAACAGGGCATGAGCTACAGTAATGGGGACTTGCGTATTTAACAAATCTAGCATTTTGCATTACAGGACTGCTGACATTTTCATAGAATCATAGAATCACTTTGGTTGGAAAAGACCTTTAAGATCGAGTCCAACCTTTAACCTAACCCTGACATCCCACCACTAAACCATGTCCCTAAGCACTTCATCTGTCCTTCTTTTAAATACCTCCAGGGAGGAGGACTCTACCACCTCCCTGGGCAGCCCATTCCAGAGCCTGACAACCCTTTCGGTGAAGAAGTTTTTCCTAATGTCTAGCCTAAACCTGCCCTGGCGCAGCTTCAAACCATTCCCCCTCATCCTATCGTCCCTTACCAGGGAGAAGAGGCCAACCCCCACCTCCCTACAGCCTCCCTTCAGGTAGTTGTAGAGGGCAATCAAGTCTCCCCTCAGCCTCCTCTTCTCCAGACTAAACAACCCCAGTTCCCTCAGCCGCTCCTCATAAGACTTGTGCTCCAGACCCCTCACCAGCTTGGTTGCTCTCCTCTGGACATGTTCCAGCAATGCAACGTCTTTCTTGTAGTGAGGGGCCCCAAACTGAACACAGTATTCAAGGTGCAGCCTCACCAGCACAGAGTACAGGGGCATGATCACTTCCCTACTCCTACTGGTCACACTATTTCTGATACAGGCCAGGATGCCATTGGCCTTCTTGGCCACCTGGGCACACTGCTGACTCATATTCAGCTGGCTGTCAACCAGGGAAGAGCTGACATATAGTGCTGTCAATGGAGTCCGTTCATATGACCCTCCAATAACAGCAAGAAAAAGAGCAGATAGTTTTTTTCATATATAACAATACACTTGGAAACAAGCAGATACTACAAGTGCTCATCAATATTAAAATCACTTTTAAAGTCAGTTCTCCCTGGAGCTGCGAGGTAAGTGGTAATGCTCTCCTAAGATGCCTTACAGCTTGATGGCCTTTTAAAAATTAAAGATAAAAAAAAATCTTTTGGTACTCTTGCTCAGAAAACAGTGCTAAGAATAGAATAAAAGAAAATTAGCCATCTGAAAATCATCAAGATGAAGTAAGAGGTTTGTAGGGGGATTTTTGCCTCATCTTCCCTTCCCCCCTTTTTATAAGCCCTACATGATTTACAGCTTCATTTATTCCCATAAAAATAAACAAATTGAAATTTTTTTAAATAGGTCTCTTCAAATATGGGCTAATTCCATGAAAGCCGAGTGCAAGTCAAAAAGCATTCCCAATAAGAAGTTTAGAAAGTTTTCAGCTTTTCAGCAATCTAGAGCAAAAAGAAAGTCAGACAACTGTTTTTACCATGTGACTTGAGCCCAGCCTCTTTCCTTTAAATGATTAATTTTTTTTAAATGTAAAAAGAGACAAATTCTATTCTCAGTTTCTGAAGGTCAGTACAAATCCCAGAGTCTTGCTCAGTGTTTGTGCAGTTACTCAAAATACATCAATACGCTGTTGGGGAAGAAATGTTTATCCCATTATTTCAATGTTGCACTGAAAAACGGGGACATGACATATTTTAGCCTGCCTTAATACAAGAACTGCCTGATTTTGTACCATTACACAACCCCAAGTAAATCTTCATTACAATTAGAAAACAAGATAATAAATTACTGCAAGGGAAGTGGACAGCCCTAAAAACCACAGAAGGAAAATAAGGAGCCAGAAATATGGTTTTGCTGGGTCACAATTTTATTAACACACATGGGAACAATTCAACAACAATTTGCCAGGAGCGCATGACCTTCCTTTGCAACTCCTCTCACATGGAGTGGCTGATTCCAACCCCTGCCTCACCTAAAGGGACCTTGGAATCGCCATTAGGGCTCACCTAACATTTCCCATGCGAAGGTTGGGCAGATGAAGCAACGGGATTGTATCCAAAGCAAACATCAGGAATTTGGGTTCTATTCTCCAACGTCTTTAAGGGCTGTTTTCTTTGTACATGCTTTCAATCCTGACTCCTCAGGGAGCCATATTTTCTGCTGATCAATACTTGCCTGACATCTTTGCCAAACTGCAACAAAAGCAAATTTGATAATCTAATCTTTCCAAGGGATTTTCCCCTTGTTGTTATAAGGTTATTAAAAAGCAGGCAGGAGAAAAAACGTTCTGCCCAGACAACTTACGAAGAGTAGAAGTTTAAAATCAGCACGCCAAGATGGAAAGTCCCAAAATGATACCTACACAGCAAAAGCAACATGGAAAGGAAAGAAACAAAGCCTTTTTACTACTGCAGAAAAGAACCTTTGAGAAAGAGGGAAGGTTTAGATTTTCTTTACCGCTTCCTTTAGGAATTCAGCATTAGAAGATTGATGCTGCCTCCTTTTGTCCTGTTAGTGGCAGAAAACAAACCAAATAGGGAGTCAAACTGCTTATTATCTTAATGAGACGAGAGTTTCCTAACTCTTCTTGGCCTTTTGCAGGTCATCTCTTAATAATTGTACTGAATTAATTGTAATAATTGGACTGTAATGACTTGTGCTAGTACACACTTCCCTCTGTGGGCACATACCACACTGTTACACAGTATGTATCACTAATATTTGGAAAATTATTTCAAGGAAAACTATTCCCTCCTTTAAAACAGAACTGAAACTCGAGGAAGATGCTGAGGGGTCCAGAATTTCCTACAAACCATCTATAACTGAAAGCAGAGGAGAATCATTCTGTGCGATAGAACTATTCAGTTCAGCTGAGCACAGCTTGGGAAGAGGCTTTACCACAGTAAGGCAAATGCATTACATCCCATATGAAAAAAAAAACCCCAAACATTTTTCTAGAAATACTTTCAGAAAAAGGCAAGTAAGAAAACTAAAGATGGAGATGTTAACAGTGACATTACAGACTCAAGTAGATGTCCCAGGTAGACAGGATCTGCTGATCCTTAGCAGCCTAAAACAGCCGTTCACAAAAATCAACTGAAGCATCTCCCTCTTGGATGCTGCCTCAATTAATATTTCTATGAAAACACACTAGCAAAAGTTTCTGCAAGCCGCCCAGTTACCATTTTTGCAATATCTTATCACTTTTGTGTCACTCATTTTAGACTTAACATGACTGGTGTGGAAACAAAGTCTGAACTTCAAGATGCACCTGTAAACAACCCTAAATCCATACAAAAAGCTTACTATTCCTGTGCAAACATCTCAAAAGTCATGGTCACTTACAAGTACTCTACTTTCTGAATTCATTCACTGCAGTGTTTGGTTGCTAGTCTGATCTTGTTCGCAGTGCACTGATTTTTAAGTTACAACTTTTCCTGATGTACTTACATATTGTAAGTGCTGTAATAATAAACCAGCATCTTCATCTCAGGGGAGAGAATGCCAGTTTGCTGTCAGGGTCTCATAGCCACCGACTGTAACATCTTTATGTTTTTCTTCACCTTTTCAGCTATTTTATCTTTGTAATGAACAAAACTATGATAGAGCCTATAACTCAATAATCCATAGACAATATGGAGGCCCAGTTCAAGCTGCAAAAAAATATTCCATAGATTTTTCTAAAAAGAAAAAAAATGCAGAGATCCTCAAGTTTCTCTAGGGTGAAAAAGCAACATTTTTTGCCTCTACATACAGCACTTTGCATTCAATTTAAATTCTCACCCTGCCTACTGAGGCATTAGGGACAAAAAAAGCTTGCAAAAGCTGATGGCAGCTTGCCATCAATATACAGCATTGCCTGGACCCGATGGAAACACTTTCTGAAATAAATCAGATTTTGTCCTGATGAGAACTGCAATGGAAATAAGATAACAGAAGAGATGAGCATCATTTAGCAGCAGCTTTTGGAAAAGTTCTGATGTGACTATAAACACAGTCTCATAAGCTAAGTACTATAAAATAGAATATTTCCTTATGCATTTTCTTGTCAATTTTTTATCTATATATAGAAAAATTATACAGTAAATAACTCCTAACTGCTGCTAGAAAGACTTCCAATTTTCCCTGTCATACTCCATTTACCTGTTTGTCCATTAAAAACTGTCAGTTTTGAAGTTTTAAGACCAAAAATGCAGGAGACAGCATCTACAAGTCCAGTGAAGTTCAACGTATTGTCTCCTTTTGGATTTTCCAGCAGCAACACACCATCTAAAACCAAAAATAAGAAATTAAAAAGCAGTTTGGAAGCAACATCCAAATTTCAATGATTTTCTAATGACTTATTTCTAATTGCTTCCAGGGAGTTTCTAAGCTGAGTTCAAACTGGCAACACTGCATCTTCCAGAATTGTTTTTAGTAAGAAAGGGAAAGAGGAAAGAAAACAGGGAAACAGACTCAAGTGTACTTCAGATTTAGAGTAAGGAAGCTATATTTGTTTTTATTAGCAAAGCAGTCAAATTTTTATGTCACTGAGTTATAATCTGGTATCATATTGACAAAACACTGACAGACTGTGTGCCCTCCAAGACCTTCACCAGCTTACATAGTTATGTTCATTATTATTCAGCAAGTAGCTTTGCAACAGCGCTAAACAAGGCACATATACTTACACACATAAACTGTGAGGACATGCAGGGAAAAAACAATTCCAGAGAGTGCACTTAGTTTTCTCTCCTTTTGATACATAACTCAACCTTGTAATACTTTTTACACTATCACTGCACTCATCTTTTGACTGTAGTTAAGCATAGTTTTTATATTCCATAGTTCAAGTATTCTTTTTCAGGTCTATACTTAGATATTAAGTTGTAAATAAGTGGAAGTATTAAGTTTTCCAGAAACAGTATCTGCTCCACAGAAAGGTATCACCAACACTTACAGTGTGACATCAAGAGCTGAGAATTCTCAAGGCACAAGCCCTGAGCATGGGTGAACGTACACACGCAAACACAGAATGCATACGCCTCCATATAGATATTCACATGCAAACCCTTCTGCAGAATATAAATAATTTATGCACACCTGCATATTTACTTCAGGTCCACATCAGAAGACATGACGGAGAGCAAGTGGGTTTGCTTTTAATAAACTTATTTTCAGGAATTGTTTAAAGCTATTATTGGAAGGGAGTTTGCACCATCTTTGGAACAAATTCACGGCTCCAACATCCATCACACCGTTTTCCAAACAATCTTTTGACACCACCACTGACAAATCAAACCCAGTACATTCCTACCTTGCTCCGTCCCATTAACACAAACTTTGAGGTTGACGTAAGCACAGGCTGGACCAACGCACTGACACGAACCACCTCGGGTGAGTGTAATTTCTAGCTCTGATCCCTTCAGCTGAAGGAAGAGGAATATTATGATTGTTTGAATATAGTTTCATTAAACAAGCAGAACAAAATATTTTCCTTAAATAAACAACATCAAGATCTTGTCTTACTATACTAAACATGACTTAAAATAAAATAGCAACTTTGGCCACATCGTCCTTCAGAGACAGAGCGCTTCAAATATTAATTTGTCTTTAATATATGTTAAACATACAGCACTATTTAACACATAAGAAAACCAGAGTGAAATAAACGGCCTGATCTTCGCAAGTGATGAGCAGTGATGACAGTTTCCCAAAATATAATCCAAAAGTTAATACCCTCAAGAGAGAAAGACTCTTCCAGACAAATTCAGAGTATCTGGAGGCAGGACCCTGCTCTCGGTTGCTGTCTGGAGCCTTCATCTGTCTCCGAGGGGCTACCAAGAGCAGCCAGTAGTTGCCTTGATATCGAATCAGCCTTTGTGAGTATCTCCCCATTACCATTTAGTGAACCGATTAAAACTTCAAACACCCCAAAAAAGGAATGGAACACGTCTCTTCCTTTGCAGATGAAAGACAGGACGAAGAGGCTTGAGAACTGATGCAATACAGAACCAGACTTAGCTCTAAGACTGGGCTTTTTCAAGCACAAGTCTCTTCCTGAACTAAGTACAGGCTGGAATGACTCCTGCACCTATAGCAATTTGTATGAGAATCACACTTCTAAAAAAATTTCTTAAAATTTTAATTGAATACATATCATACAGAAATCACTTATATGAACAACTGGTACCAAGTGGCCATTTAAGCCAATTTTTTTGTAAATTTAGAGACTGTCTTTGGTAAGAGTCAGAGTCCAAAGGGTGAACAGCCAAACCTGGAAGTGCCTCTCTTTGCTGAGCTCCTGTTACAAAGTAGGAAAACACACTTACGGAGCAGCAAATCTCATTTTGTGTTTACTCAATTCTACCAGCAATTAAAAATTTATTTTTCAAGTAGCTGCTTTTCCTTCCCAGCATTTTCTGAGCAACCGCTGATGTTTTTTGTTGTCTCTCAGAGCAAGTCTTTGGGAGAAGCCCTGTATCAAAAATTGATCCAGGATAATTTCACAGAAATACTGATCCTGAATGTAATCAAAGTACTTGTAGAAAAAACAGACTGCATTTCATTTTTGTTCCAGCCTTCACATATATTAAACATCATGCAGATCTATTAGTCCTTTTAGTACCTTCCAGAAATGTGGTGCAATGATCCTGTCACAGTTGACTTAACTTACGAACTCCTGTGAAATTACACAATTCAATCTTTTAACTTGCACCTGCTTTTATATCTGAAAAAAAAAAATCTATATAATCACCTATATAATCATCACTGCAAAGCATTTTCCATGTCAATGCTGATTATCAACAGGTGACAGTTGATGCATAATTCAATCTGAATTCACATCTTCAGAGTCTTTATGCCTGAAACTGCTCGTACAAAATGCAACGCGGCTGTGACTAGTAAAGGCAACTAGCCGTAGCCACGTCTGCTGCACCGAACTACAAATTCACGGCACACAGCTGCAGCAATCCTCAGCTCCCCACAAAGGGCCAGACCTCTACACTGAAAGGATTTCCAAAGGAGGGCTTTTTCATTTCAGGTATTTTTATTCACTGCTCTTCACATGACAAGCTAGTCACAGCAGAACATGGAGTCAAGCACGTACCCTAAGCAATCCATCTCCACAGTCCCAAGGAAGTGCGACTTCCAAGGAAGACTTCACAGTTTCACTAAAATCTGTCATCTGTTTCTCTCTGCAACCTCTATTTTAAAGTCTAAGTATGTGACTAACAACTCAGAGGCACAGTGAGTCTGTAAGCACAGTAACCATTTAAACACGCAGAAGGCAACCCACGCGGCAAAACCCACAGCTTAACTCTGCAGAGAGGTACTTTGTAATGATTGAGGCTCCTTAAAGTAAAATAATAACAAACAGCTCTGCATTTACTTACAAAGTTTTTCTTTGCCTCTGTTTACCATACATAAACTGTAAAGCTTCGGTACACAGAACTTGCAGTAACGCCCCACTAATGTTTTTGTTTGAAAAAAACCTCCACACCCAAGATTTTAAGCTGACAGGTAGGCACTCCCAGCCATTTGGCCAAGATTATTGCGTTCCTATGAACATAGTGATCAATTGCAATAGCCACACAGAACCATCTATCATATACAGGCTTATTTCAGCTACAATGTTTTTAGGTTTACTCAGTCTGAAATCCAGCGTTTGTGCAAATACATAGCCTGACCCACAAACCTCCTCTCTCCAGTTTACATACTAGCTCATCATTTCCAAAACTGAACCCCATGTCTGTTTTTTGCAGACATCAACAGCTATCAATCGTGTGCATAACAACCCGCACCTTCTGTCAGGGCAAGATTTCATCTTCACATCGACAGCATTATTTAAAACTAATGCAACAGACTCATCTCTCAGCCACATTATTTTTCTTCACTAGAATCTGCTAAACTAAGATTCGGAAAATAGGAAAAATAGTAGCAGGGGGAACCACACTTGCACAGGTGTGAAAGCTTTCACAAAGACACAGTGACCAACATTAAAGCTCACATCCTAGGCAATTTCAGAGGCAGGCATTCAGACCAGTGCTTCCCAGCACTATACATTTTTTTCAGCTGCTTTTACATTCTAATTCAGTTTTGATGTTGACTTAACATCAAACTGTCTGTCAGCAGTATCCCAATCAAATAAGCACCTAGAAGAAATAGCAAAATACTTTCACCAATTTCTCAGCCATAATATTCTCCACTTTTATGCAGTGCTTTTCCCTATGTTTGTCACTGGATTAAACTAACAGTTTTGAAAAAGGCCAGAGTTTTGTTTCAAAGCTGGCCAACTTTAAAAGTGTAATTAATAAATATAAACCACTTCCTTACATATACTGCTACTAAGATGGATAAAATACACTAGTCTCAGACCCCCAAGCCATTCTGTAAATCAAATTTTAAGTCTGATACATAGTAAGTTATTGTGTTTCTGGGCTAGCATGACATTTAGATTGAAGAATATTTAATCCAAAATTCTGCTAGGAATGCCTTTGGAATACAGTAAGTTTGAATATAACCATGGGAAAAGTATTCTCAAAACATGTCAGAAGGAACAGTCGAAGAAAGCAAAGGAAAAGGTTCAAATCTGCTGCTGAAAGAATAGGCCAATCTGTGAAACCGCATTGTTAGAAACGACTGAACATCAGCAATACGGGGAGAAAAACCAAGCATCCTCAAACATTAATAACTGAAGTTGGGCTCAAGCCAAAAGGCAACATTTAGCCTCAAAGGAAAGCATTTCTAATAGAAAAGCATATTAACTTAAAGAAATCAGAGTGACCATATTTTTGCTGTCTAAACAATGCACAAATAACTGCATGTATTAAGCTTACACAAACAGCTACCTAAGATTTATTTTGGTAACCAATCAGCTTCATTTTCAAAAATACTACACATACAGAGCCCAATTATTTTGGCTTTTAAACCAAAAAGACTAATTTAGAAATATGAAACCATATCCACTATATCCCACAAACAAATACTGACATGCAATTTTTCTGCAATTGAAGCACTTGGCTCAGATAAAGCAGGTAACCATGAACTCAGCAGTCAGTGCTTTTTCCTTCTTACTTGGGTTGTTTCCTGGATGAGAACTTCTTCTGAGGTAGGCACCGGGTAAGGCTTCAGGGCAGCCTTTATTGTTGCAAAAATGAAATCCGTGTGTTCCTTAATAACAGTATCCAGGTAGTCACCTTCTGGATGAGATCTGTAGTACACTGTGATCTTATCTGTAGGAACCAGGTTTCGCTGCAGGGTACACCAAGTACAGCAAGATGACTTCCACATATACAAACTAAAAGGATACTTGTTAAGTTAAAGAAAAAAAAAAATCTTAGAAAGGTATTTACCAGACATTTATTAAAAGTTTCCACAAGAGATTTAAAATAAAACAATTCTTTTGTCAGAAGGGCGAGAAAGAGGCTTGAAACATGGTGAGGCTTTCTTCAAAAGATAATGACCAAATAGCGTACCTTACTGAGAACATCTCGCTTCCAGATTCATTTACCAGCTCTCCCCCTTAGCAAACTGAAAGCCTACCAAAATTATTAAAAAGCTTGCCTTGATGCACAAGAATTTTACTAGCATTTACACATCCCATTAGCCTGAAATTAAACCCTCGGCTCTTCACTGAGCAATTGCTCAATCAGTGACGTTTTCTTAATGCCCACCAGTCTCCAAGACATTTAGGGATTGTTTTGGAAAGTGGTGACCAGGTTTTTAAGCCACATCTTATATCCTAACATATACTTCAGAAAAAGAGCAATTACTTTGAATGGTACACTAATTAAAGCTGAATTAGAGCAAAATTCTACTTCAGTAAGAAAATGGTTACGAGGAAAAGAAATAGCAGCACGAAGAAAACGTTATTTCTAAAATCTGCTAAAAATAATGAGTGCCCTAACGCCAGTAATAGTTACGGTGGATCCAGAATCTGTGCTTTTTATTACATGTACACTTTTATAGCAGGAGTGAGAATGAAAGAATGACAGAATAAATGCACATTAGCATCGTTAATTATTAGGCAAGACTAAGTATTTTGATTTTCATTTAAGCAAAAATAAATTATGACCTTACGTCCTTACAGAAGTAAATTTAAGTCATCCAGTAACATATGAGAGAGCTGTCTTTTCACGGCCACACTCCTTCCTGGTTTTATTTTATACAGATATAAATCTTATCGATCAATAATATTATATATATATATATATATATAAACTACAACTATTCTGGTACAAATTTGTAATTTTTCAGTCTTATACTGAAGATTGATGCAGTGTTAACTGTACAGATATCTTTCCCCAAAATCACGTCCCATTAAAATTTTCTCTACACATAATTTCAGAGCTCTTGCAAGATTTCTTCAGGCATAAGTCTGAAAAATATAGGAATTCTAACGCATTGCCACCAAGTTAGTCAAGTAGGAAGACCCTACATGTACCACAGAACAACATGTTCCATGTTTGCAACGTGTATGTGCATGAAGGGACACGGGATTATTTTGTTTTGTGGTTTTTTTGGGGGGTTTTTTTGTTTGGGTTTTTTGGGTTTGTTTTTTTTTTTTTTGTTTGTTTCTTAAACTTGTGGGTTCTGAAACTTTTAGAATTCTTTATACCAAGTTTAATATTACTTAATGTCCTCTCCAGATTGAAGGCTTTTTTGACTTATCGCCACCTCCACGCTTTCTTGGCACAAAATGGAGACGCAGAGCACAGCTCTTTCTGGATTAGCGTTGTCGAGAGAAGGAAGTCACACTGGTTGAAAGTGCTTTACCATGAGTTCAGACTGCATTGTTTGTATGTATGATGAACAATTTAGAGAAGAATCATTAATGTAGGTATACAAATCTGTGCCAGAAATGCCTCCTGCAATTTGCTAAGACACAAGTTTGTTTCTTTTAGCAGTCCTAGGCTCAGATGTCTCAGCTCTCACCAGTCCAGCTGATGGGACTGGAACAGAGAGGGAATAGAACGTAACACTTGGCAGGAGGCAGGCAGGCCTGAGACCTGCTTAACGGGGACTGAACCACAGCCATGTGGCTGAAGATGGAAAACAAGAGGGGCTCAAGTAAAATAAATAAATTAGTTAATTCACTATGGATGATGTATAGCAAGCTCATTGTTCAACTCTAGCTACTTAGTAATATGGAAATCCAAAATGAAAATAGTGACTTGCAATCATTTGTGTCCGATGAGAAAGCTACGTATTAGGGGTAAATGATACAGGGCTTCATGCTTAATTACAAAGGTTGGTTTCCACTGCATGTTGCCCAAAGATTGCTTAAAGTGTCTTCTTCCAAACCATTGCTTCCTAACCTTTTTGCGAAGCTTCTGGATGCGATTAATCACTTCCCGGGCAACTCCTTCATCCACCATGGACTGGTCCGGGGTAACATCTAGCAGAACTAAAACCTGAGGTGATGCACAGAAGACAGCTGAGTAGGTAACAAACTTGGAACAAGCTAGGATTAACTCACTCAGAAGCTCAGGTACATTTTAATATGTTTTTATATATGTTACAATTTTTATATATTAAAAAATACCTTGTTGAAGAGAGTACTTTAACATCTCCCAAATTCAGAAGACAGGCTCCTGGAATTTGTTGAACTAACTGAACAAACAAAATCACCCCAGCTTTCACCTCACCATTTTCATATCACTTCTAGAGGAACTCTTTCCTTAATTGAAAAAAAAAAAACCCAAAAACGAAAACACAAAAAAAAATCCCCCACTAACATACCTGGGCATCAGAATGTGCCTCAAACTGGGCAGACCCTCCTGCAATCTGATCAAAGGTATACATGAGACGGAGATCTTCCCCATGGAGTTCATGTCCTTCTACAACAATGGTGCCTGCAGAATTGGCAGATGAAGAGCATCTCTTACAATCAGAGTGAAAAAAATTAATTCAAAAACCTTGAGACAAGTATCAATCTTCAAATACATGAAATACAGTATGTTTGCAAGACATTTAAAGAGCAGTTAAACACCGAACTATCCCACATTCAGACTTTTCATACAAGCACTTCCACAGGCAGAACTCACCCAAATGCTGATGCTTCAGCAACTCTGTGTATCATTTGAATGAAACGGCATAAAACTTAAAAATAACCTGTATATTCAACTAAATCAAAATTTACATTCAAGCAGTGAACTACATAGCTAGAAACTTCACACCCACCAGTAAATCTGGAATTGAAGCTATGCTTTTAAACTATTGCACAGATACTCAGTTCACATGTGAGTCAGTCTGACAGAACAGTTTACTCTCTACTTCGTTTTGGCCTTACAATAGCACTTAAACAGGAGAACAGTGTAAGATTAGTATACGTAGCCACTTGTAATCTACTGTCAGCAAAAGAATAAAGATAGCTTTTCTGCTATTCTCATTGACATAAAATTTAATAGGAATAATAACTGGGAAGTAGGCCTTAAGTTTCCCTAAGCTCACAGAAGGATACTTCTGCATCTGTTTCTGCAAGTGCTTGATTAATATACACAAATTGAGTGCAATTGCTTGATTTTTTTCCTGATGAGACAGAGGATTTTGGATCTACTTTTTCCCCCGTCAACGTTGCCACCGTTCAGTGGTTTGTACCATTATGTACCTGTTTCCTGGAATTCCTCTAGCTGCTCACTCTTCAGCTCTTTGATTGCAGCCATGACAAGCTTAAATGTGCCTTTCAAACGCTTCCCAAGCACCATGTGATCAGGTTCTGCTCTCAGCCGGACTCCGTATTTATCTTTATTAGTAGATAATGTCACTTGACGTACATTAAGCTCCTATATAAATACACCAAGAGGAAAAAATTAAGCTAAGGAACAGCCATCTCTGACAACTGCCCAAAGAGTACAAAACCAGCACTAGGGAAGTCCTAAGTCTCAAGCTGCAAACATTTTATATGGTTGTCTCTATGAACTAAGTAATTTACCAATACTAGAAGGGCAAATATACCCAACCAATACAGAAACTATTCTTCAGCAGATCATGTTCTCCTCTTCAGCCTTTATAGGTAGACATTTCTCTGTTATCAATAGACCCCAGTCAGCTCTCAACTCAAATCTGAGTTCAACAACCTATTCAACAATCTTTTTTACTTTACTGAGACAACTGCCTGAACAGATAAAACCATTACCTCTGTGTGCAATGCCTGGCAAAATTCAGGAGCAAAAATCTTGCTGAAATACTCCTCTCAGTATGCATTTAGCCAGAAAACTATAATCAACAATTTTATGCTTTAAGCTGTACAAATGCTACTGCATCATTCTGTCTCTTTCCTTACCTGTTCATTCTAGGTCCTTACCGTACAGAAAAACACCTTGCTCAGAAAAACTGTCTCTGCTTTGCAGCACAAGGACTCTGAAGATGAGCATGCAGAGGCAGCCAAAAGCTTATAAAAGTTGCATGACCTTCAGGAGGGGCCCTAGACCAAGGATGTTACTTTGCCACTACAGAAACTTGGGTGTCCCCATTTTTATGAGTAATGCGTGCAGGTTTTGTCCTGGTATCTGAAGGGGAATATCGTGGTGCTGTAGAAGGTTTCAGAGAACAACTAATTTCAGAGAACAGTGTAGCTACTGTACGAGGAAAGATCAAGGCTGGAACTCTTTGGAGGGAAGAAAGTGGAAGGAGGATACAATTGAAATTTTAAAAGTTATGAAGGAGGTGGTTAAGGAATGTAAACCCGGTATTCACCAAATCCCCGAACAGTCCCTTAAGGGAGAATGCCATGAAAATAGTAAGAGGTTAGTTTAAGAGTAGTTAACCCTTGGAACTTAATGCCACCAGAGGAGGCAAGCAGGAGTGTACCACCAGGATCAAAAAGAAAATAAGTTCATACCAGTAGGCACATGAAAAGACGTTACAGGGAGCAGACAGGCACATGCCGATGGGTATCTTTAATCCAATAGCTGCAGATGGCCGACTCTGACAGAAACCTACCCAAGAAGCGTCCAGATGCTCATGCTTTCTCTAAAAGGTTTTGTCTGTCAGACTGCCCAATACTTGTAGCATTTTGTGTTTAAATCTCCACTAGAAGGTTGCTAGAGTTCATCAACATGATGCAGAACCACCGAGTGCATTGGGCCAGCAAGCTACTCCGAGTCATTTCAGGAGCAGAAGTAAACAGCAGCAACAGCATCACAGGACAAGCAAGTAGCCAAATGTTTAGACTGAGAAGTAATGCTTAAATACAACCTCTGATCTACAGCCTAATTCCCTAGGAATTCCTACTGACACGAGGAGCCAAGAATAAAACTGAATCTGATTTTATTTAATACATCTTTTAGGAAATATAATGAAAGTTACGTACTTCAGAAATTCAGTTTTAATGGGGTGCTGTTGGAAATGAGCCTACAAGTGGTAAATGATGGCCTCATGGGGAAAAAAAAGACATTATAATCCAAAAAACCAGCACAAATTTAGAGATTACTTTGGGCCTGATTAGATAAATTACATACAAGCCAACTCCATCAGGACAAGTTTTGTATACTAATTAGATTAGGAAACCATTCTTCTGTGTACATTATCAATTAAAAAACCAGAATCATTCTTCCAAAAAAAAAAAAAAAAGCAAGTCTGTATCTTAGGTCTGTTTATATCTGCCTCAATATAGTGCATTGACTTAAAACAGTTCTTAATTTTATCTTCTCAATAAATAAAAATGAGCTCGTTAACACATCTTTCAAGTCTCATAGGCACGAACTGAGGCAACCAGTCCTTCCCATTGCCAGTCAGAGGACCTGCACATTCAGGCATCCATGTGTACAAGGGCCTTAGTTGGTGCCACGTGCCAGGCATGATCAACCGGTAACCCAACAACACCCAAATCTCAGACCAGAGAAAGAGAAATGCCAGGGCTGGGCTGGGCTAAGCAAACATCCCAAAAAGAAAAATAAATATTGATTATGTGCTACTGTAAGAAACAAAATATTGAAGGACCACATGCTCGCCATCTCAGTTAACGTGTCAGTTAACTGAGCCCATTTGTGGACTCAGTCTACTACATTACTGTAACACCACTAAAGTTACGAGATACTGGCAGAGCTTGGATTTGGCGAAGAAGTAAATTTTCTGTTTTCTTATTGCCGTACATAGGGGTGGGGGTTGAAGGGTATACAAAGGTTGGATGCAAACAAGATTCTGGTTGTGCTTAGAGTAAAATTTACTCTGATAAAACCTTTCACTGGAAGGAGTTAGGAAGAGAAGTTCTGAACTAGGCTTATATAAGCCCTCAAATACTAATGAATAAAATGCAACTGTATGCAGCTGCTAAAAGCCTTCTGGATTTATTTCATTTTGTGAGCTTGGCCATTTTTGCATGGCAACTCTATACTCTGGACAGTTCTAATATTAAAATCCATTTATTTAAATGATTTGCTATGCTCTGATGATGAGAGAGTAAGACTGCAGATCAAAGACTACAGCTCTACTTCTGAAAAAGCGATGAATGAAATTTTTGAAGAATTGACAACTGTATTTTTCAAATTCTTTTGTCAGCAACTGCATAAAATCAAATTTGGTAGTTTTTCTTACAGATTACCTCTGGCATCTGCAAATTTATTAGAAACACACTTCTGGCAATAACTAAAGGTTCTAAAGCTCTGAATATGTAGGAATTCTATGAACAAAGCTGCAAATACAGCCCAGGTAATACTACCCAGTCTGCCTGTATTCACTGACCTCTTTAGCTCTGAACCATCCTGGTAAACAATGAGATTGATTGCTGTACGACACAATAAAACACACACTTAAGCTTCAGGGTCAGCTTCTTGAATTTTAAGGTACATAATAAAAATAGAACAATAGACAGTGTTTTGTATTTGTGCTTCCATAAAGGTATTTGAGTTTGTTGAAACTCATCTCCCCATAAGACATACCTTTACTTTGTTTGCAGTAGCAAAAGAATATAAATGAAAACACACTTCTGAACAATCCAATTATGTAATGACTTATCAGATTGTTAGGTTCCTTTGTTGCCTTTTACTAGCTATAGAAGTTGACAGCAAATTTTGTCAGCTATCTTTCTGGAAGTAATTTCAGTAAGCACACCTTACCTCCCTTAAAATTGGATTCTGTAAAAGCCACAAATCCACTTTTCAGATCAAGGAAACGTGACAGAGACTAACCTAAATTTCACAAAATTCTGCTATTGAAAAGATCCAAGTATTGAAATGATTATTAATAATAATAGCAATTCTGAAGCAAAGCATCATAACTGCCAAGTCTAAGAGAAATAATCAGTAAGCTAACAGGACAGAAATGCCTTACAATCCCACTTGCAAATCAATTAAGGTTTTTAAATTAAAATTTCTTTAATGCACAATTCTTAAGAATTTAAGTCCCACAGTAACTAAAAGCAAGAAGCATACAACACTGATCTAGAAGTCTTCTGCACTGAGCCATGACTCCCTCAGCCAGTGCTCTTAAGTTGCCCCCAGAAGAAATTTTTGAAGCCTTCCTTAGCTGTATATTTAGGCTTAGGGAAAAATGGTACTGCTGGAGTAATACACAATCGAAGTTAAAGAGGTGCTCCACTGCTTCAGTCATCTCTTGAATTCTTTGACTGACATGGTTGCTCTCACCAAGACAAGTGAGGTGAGTTGATCTCGCTTGAGCAGACGCAGATTTTTGTTCCCTCTGCCAATGCAAAGCAGCTGATCTTGACAACGACAACTTGAACTAAAAAAGTTCCACCACATTTTAAGCATGCGACTGGATTTTCTGTTACAGAGCCCTCTGAAGGTACCTTACTGAAAGAAAGAAAGAATCCTTACCCTACCGAGGACAGGCATATGATAAGGACAATGGGGAAAAAAAAAAAAATCCTTAGATACTGTACTGCCAGGGTTACTATAATAGAAAAAGAACTTCTCACCTATCTTTGAAGACCCATTTCACTGGCTTTAGAGACTGGACAATGTTACAAACACTTACAGAAGAAAAAAATCCATTAAATGTAAAGCATCATAACCTTATGCTTCAGGTACTACCAGCATGTCTTAGTACAGCCATTGGAACTGGCTGTCATGAACATACATAAACTGGTCTGGAAAGTGACAGATTCTGACAAATGAAAGATGATGGGAAGGTCAAAGGTCAACTATTAGTAGAAATACATGTTATTTAATAATCCAGAGGCCACTAAACAGAAATACAAACTAAAGACAGATTGCTGAACCCACCAGTCCTGTATTACATCAGCTCTAAGTACAGAGGTCCTGAGGTGATACAACACAGTAGGAATTTCCTGAAGACAAAGTTCCTCTGCAGTGTCAGATTCAACGCTTCAGTGCCATGGGTGGAGCTGAAGGAAAGGAGCCACTCCAAACCCCAGAGAGTCCCCACATTTCCCACCCAATTACTGCACTTGGACACATAGAAACCACACGCTAATGTGACAGTAGCTTGGGAAGTACGCTGGAGGTAAAACAGAACAAAGAACTAAGTTGTAAGAGTAATCTGGTTTTAGTATATCTGCTACAAGCACTTAAAATACAGGAAGAGGGCAGACTTCAGGGGTTAATGAAAAGTACAGCCCATGGCTCACCTTTCCAGATGTGAAGGTATCACAGGAGGGAAGGGAGGAAGTCTTTCACAAGCTGTGCAGATGTACAACTACCTTGCTGTTCAAAATTTTTTTTCTTCTGGTTTTTGCTCATTTGAACAGAGATGGTTTCAAACGAGTAGATTTGAGAGAGCAAGATGCGAGGAGGCTAAGCTGGCACTTCACAGGCATTCAGAAACTGTATTAAGACTTCTATGTGAAATCTCTTGTAACAGCATAGGAAGTCAATCTGTGGGGGGCTGTTACTTTTTGTATTACATTGTACTTGACTTCACTAACAAGGACCTTGCACTGAGGCTGGTATCCTTTCCTCAGAAACCTTTTTAACAGGAGGTCCTGAACGGGGAAGATCACCTGAACAACTACCTTGGTGATTTTATTCTGCAAGACCACTCCTTCAGTTCTCACCCGAGAGAAAAGCTGGTGCACATTCTGCCTCATTGAGTTGAGAGCCACACACAAATGCAACAAGACTGCATAGGGAAAGGGTTCAAGTGAAAATTGATACCCAGAAATTGTTGTCATGAAGTAATCCTCAATTTATATTCAAGTCTAACACATGCATTCTGTCCGATATCAATACTAAATCAGTTCCCTTAGAATTCTGCTGTCTTAGCAAAGAGCTGCTATTCAAAATGCAATTCCTTCCCCCAAAACACATACAGTTACAAAGATGAAGTCATGGCATATCTCCTCAAGCAACACAATGAAACATCTGGGCAAAAAGTGATCAGCTATCCCAACGAGAGACTACTGCAGCAAGAGGAAATTAAGACTGTTCAGACAGAACAGCGTTGCTTAACCAGTCTTAACCAGTCTTCCTCCTTTCCTCACTGCCTTCCAGAGTAGTTCTGAAAGGCCTCCAGTCTACAGCAGAGGGATTATTACCTCTAACACCCTGTTCAGCAAAGCAATTAGAAAGCCCCCAGGCTGCTAACGCTGAGAAATTGCACACAGCACAGCTCATGGTATCAAATGCATGATCATGACAGATTTAAGCAGCAAGAACCACTGTTTTGCAAGATGTTTTGAGGGCCCCAACACCTAGAAAACAGTTCAAAGGCATACTGGCGTAGTAGCTTTTTTCCTCCCTTTTCTTTTTGATTCAAAACACCATGGCTCATTGAAATTCATCACGGTAGCTGAAACTCTTCCTTACCACTATTTCCTCATGCTGTTTGATTTTTTCTTGTACATCACAGATGTGAAAGAAGCAGGATATAAAGTCTATTTGTAATGAAATTTAATTGAACAAAAAGACAAAAAAGCCCACTCTACAATCTTTTAAGCAATCAAAACATAATAGGCTTTGTACCTATTTGTACCTTTGTACCTAGCACTGAAATTTAAAAATTTATTTATAGCATAAACATACAAATAAATTAAACTCCTTTTTCATTTCACTTCTTAAAATACTGTGGATTTTTATTACATGACTGATTAAAAACAGAAAGTGCAGCCAATTTCAAGAAGTTACATTCAAAAAAAAATCCAAGAAGGGTGACTTTTCTTTTGAATGATGGGGCTTTTATCCAAACACAGACTGAGAAGTAGAGCAGGCTGCATTTCTCTAATGGACATATATTAAGAGAGTATTACAATGGCATACAGGGGCAGATGAGTGTAGGAAATTGTCTAGACTTACATCTTATTTATTTGACGTTTATCCTAAACAACATCCTGCAAAAATCTGGACTGGTCCCCTGTTCTCCCTCACATGGAACTTCTCCTCCTCTCCATCAACCCTTCCACTTACTGCCAAACTGGTTTTAATGCCCTTTAACTGAAGGAGATCACAAATACCGCAGTCCATCTCTTCGACAACACGTAGTTGAATATTGTCTCATTTTCATTCAGAAAATGTTTTTTCCTTTCACTGATCAAGAAAAAGAACATTTCTAATAGCCTCTTAATTATTCATTAAAGAAGTCCTATGTGGTCAGTTTGAGAGATTAAGTGTTTCTCAGTACTACAACTGGCTGTCTAAGGCTCATCACCCATTTACCTTTATTTCTGTACACAGTACCCACTGATATCCCCTTTCATTACAGTTCTTTTTTAAATTAGTGTTACCTAGTGATTTATTAATATTGTCAACATGGAAGGTTAGGGTTTTATTTGTTTAGGCAACCAACGTACACAATCCAGTAAAGCATCACGTTCACAATGGTCTTACCTCGAGTATGTACTTCTCTAAAGATCTGACGTTTTCCAGAGCCTCTGGATCCTGATGGATAACAACTACTTCCTTCAAAGGATACTGGGGGGGGGGAAAAAAAAAAAAAAAAAAAAAGGAAAAAACCCCAAAACAAACCACTTTTGTCCTCCCAACCAAAAATAAAGAACTTCAGAAATTATTATTTATCATTTGAAGTATTTTATTGTTGAATTGTTTGCTATTCCAAACTTAATTCAATTTTCCCAGGCTTATCCCAAAGTTAAAGCTATTGCATGTTCCCAAGGTATTGACAAGAGGTGTTAAAGAGTTCTAACCTTTACTGGAATGGTTTTTCTGTCTCTGATTACTCGTCCAAGCTCAATAACAGACTGCAAACAAGAAACGGCACTTTCAATTTTGTTGTCGATGAGATCCTCCCTAGATTAAAAAGGAAACATCATATTGCTTCATTTTCATTGTATCTGTTTGAGCAGATTGAAAACATTTTACCTCCTTCTTTGAAATTTCCTTCTAGAGATTCAATTATGTCCTGTTTGGGCAATTTGAAAAATGGACAAACAGGTTTTCCTTCTCTCTTTGTGTAGAGGAAGATGAGGAAATAACTTGCTGAAAACAAAAACCAGCTATTTTTAGATCATCTTTTGTTAGCACCTCTCACAAGATGGGAGATGACAGATTGAGTCATACTACCTACTCTATTAATATCCAATAAGAAGTAAGATGTACATTAATAATATCATAAGAAGATGCAAAAAGCTATTATAAATAGGATATTTATCATGACAATGAAATACCTATAAAGCAACCAACTCATTGGATATCAATTTATCATCTTTTCCAGGAATTCTAGATATTTTAGCTTGATGTTTTAGACAGCCTTGTCATCTTTCCTCCTGGCTTCATCATTTTAACACCCAGGCAGGGTGGTTTTGGTTTTGGGGTTTTTTTGGGGTTTTTTTTTTGCCTTTTTTGAGGGAGGTGGGTGGGTTGTTTGTTGGTTTTGGGGGGTTTTTTTGAATAAGCTGATGTTCTCAACTTGTTTCAAATGTACTAGCAGCCAATAGTTCCAAAAATGAGGTTTTCTTGATTTCTCGAGCAGCTGCATAACACTGTTGTCCTATCAAGACCAGAGGTACTGGTTCAAAAGACACTTGTGAAGAAAGTGAACAATGTAGCTTGCTGCAATATAAGTAGCAAAAGTACTGGGATGAAAACCATGCATCCAATAAGGATCGTCCACAAAAACAGAACCGGTAAAGCAAAACTTAGAACTGAAATATCCCCATCTTCTGCATTAGGGCTTTGATTAAGATGCTACTACCTACTTGGAACCTTTTATTCTTCCAAAAGCCAGTCTTTCAAGATGGTCCTCCAAAAACTTGGAAACGTATAAATTGTGAGATAGAAGACTTTGCTCCCAGAAAGATTCATATAGTATAATGTGGCAGTATTTCAATACTACTTGCCATTAATTAACGACACTGTGGAGCCAAAGTGAGACATCTTCACAGACTGCATGCATATCCACAAAATTTAATGCAACCAATCTGTTCAGACACTAAGCAATCAAGTAATACCTCAGTGGGATTTGTAACACAGGTATTGAGTCAAGTTCAGCTTGAATTAGGCGAGTCCCTTAGCTTTGCCTGTACATACCCATCATGTTGTTGTAGTAGTATTTTCTGTAACTGCATCAAAAAATGTCTATTATTATTAACTGACAACGTTGTCCTTATGTAGTCATCAGAAAAATATTAAAAGAAAAATGCAATGATGTGCTTAGCAACTCAGGGTGAACTCCAAAACTTTAACAATAATTTAGTTCTGAAAACATGTCTTTTTATCTGACAACAAAGGGAACAACTGATATGCAGGGGAACCAGTAAATTACAGACTAGTAGCAGACAAATATCCAAAGTACAAGACAAAGGAAATCTGTGCAAGCCACTCAAATACATCTTATGTTTGCATGATGCAGCAGCAAGTCAGTTAGCACTAACAGGAATAAGAAGTGACTAAGCCACTTTTAAATGTTCATGCTAACCCATGTCTGAACTGAGTTCCTGCAAATAGCTCACTATCCTTCCATTAACTGCTTTCTACAGGAGCTCAAAACCATTTCTGATAGCTCGCTGATGAGTTTTGCATTCTTTGATTACATATTCTTTAGAGCACTTTCCCAGGGAACAGAAAATCAGCACCATCATTATGTCAATTTCAAACTCCTTGTGGCAGTAACTCTCACTATTAAAGCTATCAGAAGGAACATACACCTTCCCTATAAGACATAGCATCCATAAAAGAAACACCATTACTAGAAGGTTTAAATTTTTAAAATGGCAAGTAAAGTATCAAGGTCAGCTCCCTCATCCTTGAGGGTTTTCAAACTGAGCTGCAACGCAAAAGGAAAGTTTGCTTCTCTTACATTCAGCAACTAACAGCAGACAGCAATGCAGGCAATAGCTTAATCCACTAACATAGCACCAAGGCACTAACGAGCAATTTATTACTGTAATACTAGTGTTTCCCTCGGTGGACCTAAAAAAACAAACCAAAACTAAACCACCAAACCAAAACGACTTCAGTTGTCAAGTTCTACCTGGGTTGAGCTGATACTACGGATAACCCAGCACATATGTCCAGTACAATTGTCATGGACCCAAACCTTTTCGAGACAGCTGGCACTTACAAAAAACCTCACCTACCAGCATCCAAAGAAACCATCTGTCTGGAAAGCTCACTCTCATATGATGTATCCTCTAAAAAGGAAGTGGCAATCTCTGGACAATGGTCTAAATTTTTGATCTGAAGCCAAAAGAACTCATTCTGCTGGCTCCGCATGTGGCCCACACAAAACAGTAATTCAAATCACAGAATCACAGAATCACAGAATCACAGAATCACAGAATCACAGAATCACAGAATCACAGAATCACAGAATCACAGAATCACAGAATCACAGAATCACAGAATCACAGAATCACAGAATCACAGAATCACAGAATCACAGAATCACAGAACTGACAACCCTTTCGGTGAAGAAGTTTTTCCTAATGTCTAGCCTAAACCTGCCCTGGCGCAGCTTCAAACCATTCCCCCTCATCCTATTGTCCCTTACCAGGGAGAAGAGGCCGACCCCCACCTCCCTACAGCCTCCCTTCAGGTAGTTGTAGAGGGCGATCAGGTCTCCCCTCAGCCTCCTCTTCTCCAGACTAAACAACCCCAGTTCCCTCAGCCGCTCCTCATAAGACTTGTGCTCCAGACCCCTCACCAGCTTGGTTGCTCTCCTCTGGACATGTTCCAGCAATGCAACGTCTTTCTTGTAGTGAGGGGCCCCAAACTGAACACAGTATTCAAGGTGCGGCCTCACCAGCACCGAGTACAGGGGGACAATCACTTCCCTGCTCCTGCTGGTCACACTATTCCCGATATAAGACAGGATGCCATTGGCCTTCATGGGATCCAGCATCAGCATTCACTAAGAAAGGCCTAGAGATGGGGGGATGCACACATTCCTGCAAACGCAGGGCCCACACCCCTTTCATAGGTAGGCATTACAGCTTCTAGTCAGTGCACATTTTGAAGTGTAAAAAGGATATTCCTTGCCCACCATAAGAAGAAAACATTATGAGCTGGGAACATGCATGCCTCCTAATTGTTTTCCTTCCTATCTACAATCCTTTAGCTCAGCACAAGCCTACTGCCTAAACATGGAGGGAAAAGAAATTCCCAGCTGACACTGAGGGCAGGGTGTGAAGTGTACTGCTAGTGAAATGTTATCCTACAGCAAAGAGACTAACATTAACCAGAGCTTAATCATAACAGAAACATTTTTTGCTTATAGAAAAGGATGTATTAACTATCATCCTGAAATTCTTCCCGAGGCAAAGGAATATTCATGTTATAAAAGCAGCCTGGTTTTTTGTTATGCAAAACAGTTTTAAACACAAGTACACGAAGAAGCAGTGTTCTGTGAAAAACAAAAAAAAAAACCCCAAAAACATCAAACAAAAAACCCCAAACCCAAGAACCAACCAAAACCCAACAACCAACCCAAACCCCATTTTACCACATAACAGCTGTCTCTTACCTCACTTGAGGAAGCATGAGGTAGTGGATGCTTTCAGTATTCTTTTCCTGAACTGAGGCTGGATCAATAAGTGTCTTCAAATTCTGGTACATCAGCTCAGTGATAAATGGAGTATATGGTGCCTGTAATATTGCATTCCATCATCACCTTTTCTTTACTGTTTGTACATTATGAGTCAGTAATACTTATGAATTACATAAGAACAGTTTAGCAAAAACAATGCTTACACAGTGTCTTCAACACAGAACTGTGATGTTATTCAAAACGCAGACTGAAATAAATGATGAAATTGCTCCTCCTTATTCACCTCCTTCCTGATATTTACATGTTGCTTTGGGGCATCAGATAAGAATTCATGATGTCTCTTTATCAGTCAGGTGATATTTCTTATAGTGCCACAGGGCAGATAAGCAAAGCAAAGGGGGAGGTGGAAAATGAACTCTGCTACACAAATCAGTAGCAATATGTTTTTTCTCCCCCTGTGTTCAGTCTCCGTACCCTTAGTTTTTATAGCCAACTTAGGCACAAAGAAGCATGCAATCTAAAAGATTAACTACATTGAAAATGTCAAATAGTCATAGTGGGCTGTAATTGCCTTACCATAAGTCTGCACATGGAGAACAAAACACTAAACAAGGTTTCCAAGGCCATAATGCAGTCTTCAGTCCCATTCTCGCCCTATTTGAAGAATTCACCAAGAAAAAAAAACAACTGCAATTTTAGGATCAGTAAGTGCACTTCAATAAACTTCAAAAATTTCCTATCTTAATGCAATAAATTGGTTTTCCAAACTGCATTCATTTTGCTCAATCCCGTCCAGCAAGTGAAACAGAATTACAGGGCACTTTGGTTGGTTGGTTTTCCTCAAAGCAGAGAGGAGGAAAAAAAAGCAATTTTAACTTCTCACTCCTCCATCAGGTACAAACTGATATAATTTAAAACGCAGCAGAAAGCTTTTGTGTAACACCATGAAGCTGCTATGCATTAATTAACACAGAGTACTAGGATTTTATTTACAGTACAAGATTGCAGAGGTAGATACCTACCTTTAGTCTTCTGCGATTCATTCTAACATACCAGTTGGTCAGAATATCAACAAACTTCACTAATCGAGGGACTACAGTGTACAGCCTGTAAGCTAGAAGGAAAAAATGTTTACTGTAGTTAATATTTGCCCTCTGCATCAAGCTCCTCACTTAAACACTTTATCATTTGTAGCTGTGGTGTTAAACATAAAACTTGAGCAGAAACAGATATGCTAGTAAGATCAAAAAAGTGATTAGACAAACTATTATGTTAAAATCATATTTTGAGATTGCACGCCATCAATTCTCATGCTTCAAGGCAAACACATCTACCACCAAATTGCTTCCCTAATCCTAGACAAACACGCATTATGGAAGCCTTATGCTTTTATCTGACTCGTAAAGAGGATAGTGGATAAAAGACTATTAATCGCAAAGGATTTGGCAAATCCTAGATTTGCACATGCTGTAAATAACAGAAATTATTGTAGAATCATACAATAAAATCTTAGAAATTACTGCCAACATTTTCTTCTTTGTTCACCAGATTTGAGACACCTATTTCAATCAATTCTCCCTAATTTAATTGCAATTTTTAATTCTTTTTCCAAGTAACACAGAAGGCTAAAAGAATCTAAAGTAACAGCAAGCCTGACAAGGTAAGAAGATAAACATAGCTGTATTTTCAAGTTCTGTGTAACTTAAAAGCATGGAGGACTGCCAACACGAAAAAGAAGGTCATTGCAAGCATCACTATGCAACTGGGAAAACAAATTTCACTTGTTCACAAGAGAACTGGGGGGAGAGGGGAGGAATGGACCTTAAATAGGACTCTGTTTTCTAAGGAAAAACTTGTCTGTAACTTCTCTAAAATCAAGGAGCTTTTTGATCTCTATCCTGAATCAGTTTCATTAATCCAGCAGCTACTGAATAAAATGGATCTTGGCTTTAAAAGCTCCACCACACTTTTCACTGCATTTTCTAAAATAGGAATGTTTTTAAAAGCAGAGTACTGGTATTTAAACCTAAAAAGGAAATGCTCAGAAGATGCATGCCATGATGGGGAAGACAATGTTTATGTGAGTACTTATATTCACAAAAAAAAAAATTCCCAGCTCTCTTCTAGCTATGCATTATTTAGTTAGGAGATTGGTTAAAAACAAACAAAACCCCTCAAAAAACCCCATCCTTCAGGGATAGTAAATCTTTAATAAGAGACTCAAGTTAGCCTGGAAACATGCATTTCTCCCCTCAACAGCTGTAATCCCAGTTCATAAACCAAATCATGAAATCTTGCTTTTTCATGACTCAAGAAAAAGGCACGCGTGTACATGGAAACACATGCACACACACGCGTGCACAGACATACACACTCTTCTTTCAATTTCAGTCATCAGAAGAAAAGTCATTTTGTAAAATAATTTCTTGTATTGGGCACTTAAGTACAAAAAAAAAGCATAATAAGCCTTACTGGTTTTATACACAGAATTTTAACTCCCCCTTAAAATGCAAAGAATTATTTGCTCTATTAATTTCCATACTTGCCCTATTTATCCAAGGGCCCAAATCCCAGACATTTCCGTCATGAAAGATGAGGTTTAGCAGAGAAACCATACTGCTGTTCAATAGGTAATAATTCATTTGGATTATCAAAGTGAAGCTACATTAGCTACACAAGCTGCTGCTGCTGAGGTTACTGGCACACCTCTCCCTAACTCGCAGCATTTCTGAAGAGAGCACGTCTACAGCTCTGGTTTTGGGCACCTATTAACCAGAGATAACAATTTTCCATGAATAAATTCCATGCCAGTTTTTCCAAGAATAACTGAAATGATGCTGCTTTCTGATACATGTTGTCTCCTTTTCTCCAGTTGCGGACGCTCTAGGAAGTCAAAAACTCTCCCCAGGCCAGGATTAGCAGAGGGCTGTTATGCCTTTCTGAAGGTTTTCTAGGCTCTTGAAAGCATCCCAAAGTTGGAGTGTGCACAGGTATGTTCCCCTTCCCACCCTCGGACTATTCAAGTGAGCTCAATATTAAACTGACAGGGACTGTATTTAGGCTGAAATACTGCTGGCTATTCAAGCTACTTGTAGAAACTGGGGCAGAATTAACATAAGTTTTACTTATTGGAAACATTTTTCTAGAGGCAGGCAATCGGTGTGAAACGTAGCCCCACTATAAAATACACTTGATTAAATGGAAGAAGCTAAGCTCAAGTGCAACATTTTTCTGGCCAGTGGTGTCTCCTTGCCATTTAGTTTCAAGCCGGTGTGTTCTTACACCTGATCGCATTCACAGGTGCTGGACCAGCACCCTATGGTGCAGACTGGGCCATTTCTATGACAGGTAGTGCCCAAACATCACCTCAGCACCACTCCCTCAGCTATGTTTTAGACATGGCAGAGAATTTTTTTTTTTTTGCGTCTTACAGGTGACAGTTATACGACATTAAATGGCAAATGCAATAATTTATTTTTGCTCACATCATGCCACATCTACAACAGCTTCTGCATTTGTTTATTTTTTTCATTATCATCATCAAAATCTTGGGTTCTAAAACAAAGCTTCTGTAGGGTATTTATCTCCTTTACCTAGCATTTGAGGTTCAGTTACCACTGCCATCTTCCCTTGCCTCTTCCTGACGTTTCCTACTTCATGTCATATGAAGTAGAAAACCTTTAAAAAAACAACCCCAAACTAATTTTTTCAAAAAGATTAGCACAGGAGTATCATGTCACAGTACCCGACTTCACTGCATCTCATCAGTATCTGTCTGACTGAATTCAGAGTTTATGCAGAAAAATAAATTGAAAAAATCATGTTGATTAATCACTTCCAAATGAGATGTGTCACTCATTTGATGAGCACATCATGTTATCTTCATCTCACACAGACAATAGCATTTAATACCAACACTAACATCTTGAAAGACTGTACGTTGTCATTTTCCAACAGGAATTTTCTTCTACTGCTTGGAAGGATCTTCTTGCTTTATAAAGATGTCAGCTGACACATCCCTTTTTATTAGCTTCATCTTCCTCTTAGAAATCCAGAGCAGAGAATTCAAGTTTCTACCCCCATGCTCATCTTCCTGCAAATACTATCTCTGTTTAAACCGTGCACTAATCCGAGATCCCATGTACACCATGTACACAAATTTTCCACTGTCCCCTCAAAATATTTTCCTCTTTACACGCAGCATGTAAACATGCATAAGTTGTGTATGTTTGTTTGGCAACACATGAAACTCAACACACCCCACCATCAAATTTCAAGGACAGAACTCTAGGAAGAAGCCACGTTCTTGTCAGACAGCTTTTATCACATTCCTGGTTTTGGTAGCTTGAGGATTCTTTCTTCCTTTAATGACATGTTCTTAGATGACCTCACCTGAATTTCATTATTACCAGAATGGCCTGCTTTATCTACTGTAGCAAGATAAATTCGTCTTGGTGAGACTGAACATCGTGCCATTCTAAGAAGGAATACAAGAGATGACTGAAGCAGAAGACAGCTGTCCTGTATCCTCATAAACTCACAGCTGGCATTTAGCTGTTCCTTCATTATCTATTGTCCCACTAATACTTTCCTTCTCCAAGCCCAAGCACACCTGCAGAAGGCTTCTAAAAATTCTTCTGAGGGCAACTTAAGATCATGGGCATAAGGGGGGTTTGTTTGTTTATTCATAAACAGGAACTACAATGGCAAAAGTCACCTTCTTTACAATATCTAGCCCTTAAAGGCACCCAAGCCTCTTCAAATTCCATTGTGACTTTAACTGCAAAGTTTGTAAGCTTACTGCATCAGACCAGCTACTTCAGGGGGCTCTTGCAGCACCTTCTCCTTGCAATTAAATTGCCTTAATATAATGTGAGCATTGAGAGGTATGGAATGATGAAAAAGACAACATGCAAGAAGAAAATCAGGAGAGTATCTTCTCACAGCAATGCAATAACCTAATGCTATTCCATCCTGCTGCACGCACTCCCAATATGATTACAAAGAAACTCTCTCTGTGGAACTACGCAGGGGAAAATTTATTTCTCTTGCTCATGTACCTCTCAAAATGATTTTATTTAGCTGAATAGAGCACTGCCCATTTTATCCTTTTTTATAGCTTCCCCAAATTTTATTTAGCTTCCTTTTTACCTCTTTTTCAGTTACTATTACAATATTAACTGCTTCAAGCACTGCAGATGTTGTTAGAGCAACAAGCTACATCACTGAGCTCATAGGATTAGCCGTGACAAAAAAAAAGCCTCATCACTTTTTGAAAGCTCATGAACAAAATCTGTATTAACACCCATGACAGCAGCATCCCATGTATTATGGTAACTGGTTAAAGATTTCCTTCCTTTTATCTGAACTGTAAGTCTCACATAGAATCTGAAAATCTCTGGATGAAATGGCTAGTTTTCCAAGTTCTCTAATCAAAAATGAAACACCCGTACACACACCCGACCAAACGTGCATACCTGCCATTTCAGCTTTGAAGAACTGAATGAGTGACTGGGTGAAAGAAAGAATCCATTTATCCATGATGTTATTGCTCTCCTTAACTGTGTTCTCATTGTAAAGGAATTCTCTTCCCTCATCCTATCATCAACATAAAAAACACAAAACACATTTTCAAGTCATAAGGGTATTCAAACCTCTTTATTAAACCACCTGTCAGCCACTAATATTTTGTCACTTCACTGTGTTACAGTGGTCTCCTAAAAGAGAACATTAAATCCCAGAGATACGCAAGAGAAAGAGCTAAGGAAAACCTGCCTCCCACTGGTGCCAATTTCACCACACCATACCTTCAACTACAAAGGAGGCCAGTTATTTGGATCTGTTAAACCAGATAAAAAGTAGTACAGCACACAACGGAACACAGTCTTTCTCTCCCTGTTTGCAGTGTAAATCATAGCTTCCAGACACAGGGTAGGATTCCTGAATTTACATAACTCTTTCATCTAGGAGGATCTGAAGCATCTACAAGAAATGTACTATGAAGATGAAATCTATTTGGGGAAAGGACATATAAAAAATATAATTATTTTTAAGAGCATGCGACAATTTCAACAGATTAAAACATAAAATAACATAATAACCTGAAAAAACAGGTGGAAATTTTAGGTGTCCAACATGCACATAGCATATTTTGTTGCTTTCCAGAATACTGATGTTTGCAGCCATCTGAGAAACTTCATAACACTTGGCTGATTCTGTATGGCATCACAAGCAAGACCACAAGCAAGCACACATGTCGGTGCCTACAGTCTGACTCTTTTCCATGTGAACATTCTTATGACTGGTTGAAAACAGAAGGTTTGGGTTTTGTGGTTTTTTTTTTTTTCATTTTTGGGGTGGCTGGTTTTGGGTTGGTTTTTTTTTTTTTTTTTTTTTTTTTTTTTCAGATTTACAAACACTATTTAACACTTGGTTTTAAGACTCTTTGGACTGTCCCTTCCCTCAGAGTCCAGATGAAAAAATCTGCTTGGATTATTCAACCCAGTAATGATGCATCCACTTATAAAGTATAAAGGAGAAGATTCTTAGGAAAGAAACGCATCTGCACACCCAGAAGGGCAGCAATCCCAGTGCGAGGTCAATCATTTCACCAACTGTGGTAATTACTGTAAGCATAAAATTATTATTAGGCTTCATCCAGGACATTGGGATTGTAGTTTCTCTCTTGCAGGAGGCAGAATACAATGAAAAAGTTGTTTAAACCTGTACATGAAATCTAATTTAAGCACTATTGCCTCCAGTAGCACATTCTTTTGCCTAACATATCTATTTAGAAAGAAACATTACATCTGCTGAATTACCAAAACTATCTGCTTCAGTACTTGGGTTTTCCACTGGGATCTTCCATCCCCAATTTGGCTGACCTTGCAGGATTTAATGGGATCACAGCAAAAAGCTGCAAAAGCACCCTTTAGATAATTCAAAGGTCAAACAGAAAGAACTGAAGTATATTTTTGGGGCAATGCGTCAGTTTGTCTGATGAACACTGTCTAGGGATCCTAGGAAAAGATTTGTTAAATATTTGGATCTAAAGTTACCAGGCTTTCTTCCCAAAAGGGGTTGTTAAAAAGATAAAACTGTGTATTTAAGTCAGATATTTACTGTACTATTTATTGAGGTCAGCTGCCTTTATAGGTTCAAATGGCAGCTCTCCACAGTGATCAGGCTGCTACTGTAATTTCATGTGTAGTACAAGGTTTGAACTTTTTCGCTTAGTTCCCACTCTTCCACATAAGTCTGCACTAACTTCTACCATTAATCTCAGCTGAAAGATTAAAATTGGTTTCAACAGAAACTATACAATATACGCATAAAATCTTCAATTTAAATGAAAAATTACTATAAGAAGGAAATTTTAATCTTGCTTCATTTTGAAAGTGTAGAAACTCTTGTCATTCATTCAGCATTTTTTAGCAGACTTCACACATAATCTACAAGCCTAAAAGATTATTGCTTTTATGATGACTTACCTTTCTTTCCATTCCATTTCTTCAGTTTTTTCTAAGTTGTATTTAAATTTAACTACTTAAAAAGTTAACTGTCATGTTACAGAAGGCAATCTTCTTGCTGTGGCTAATGTATTCAGTATCAAGTATTCCCAAGTTAAACATCTTTATGTGGATTCATAATTAAAGTTACAGTAAATGACTTAGCTCAAGAAATTGTCACAGCAACCACTACTGAAAGTAACTTTCTTTTTATTACTTATTTGCAGCTCTATCTGTGTTAAATCTGTATGCTGTTACGCAATGTTCTCAGCGCAGAGAAACTTGCATCCAGGTGCCACCCTCCGATGGCATCCTTGCTGCAATGTAGCCATGCATGACTACATGACATGGGTAACAGCAAAGAAAAAGCAGTAGCAGCACTCAAGGCAGTATTAGTGACACCTACTGCCTCCAAGCGACTACAAACACTGATAAGGCAATTACTAGAAAACCAGCAAGGCTAGATATTTCAGTATGGACATTTCAGAAGGATTCCCTCAAGCACATGTGGTATCTGGCTTTTAACTGGTGTTCCCAGCAAGGTGACCAGCAGCAGATAATTGCTTAGTATGTATTAACCCCAGAAATTCGAAGTCCCTGTATCTTGTTCATTCCTTTCAAGGATATAAATGCAATAGTATCACATTTATCTCAAATAAAAGCAAATTGAGAGCACCCTAATCTGAGAAATGATAGCTGTTATGTCTCCTACCTTCCACTCCTCCCTTCTATATAAGCTTGGTCGAGAAAGCGACAGGGTGATTACAGCTTTATAAAACAGGGGTACAAACAGCAAATAACACAGAAATTAACAGCGAGTAGATACAACCTGATCTAACTTTGAAGTCAGCCTTACTTTGAACAAGAAGGTAATGATCAGATGATCCCCAGAGTCAGAGTCCAGACCTCCCTTCCAGTCTGAATTTCTCTACGAAGCTAATTCACTCTAACAGTGGAAAAAGCACAGAGTCTTTTCCACTTTGCCTGTCCAAGCTCGAGATATGTACCTTATGTTGCAGGATCTGAACATTCTGAACCAGAAAGCGATACGCATTGTACCAGGGCAGGAAGACATCCTTCAGTATATCCCTTACTCCTTCCTCCTTAAATCTCAGATTTTCTGCTCTTACCACAGGAGAATTGATCAGGTATAACCTGAAAAATAAGAATGCAATGCTTAAAAGCTTAAAATTGCATATACTGATAGAAATGCACTTAAACCCTAGAGAGTAAACCCTAGAGAGCTGCATAGCAAGATAAAGATACCCAAGGGAGCAGTTTCACACTAAGAACTCTAAGGAAGACAGTATTGTAAGCATCTAACACATTGAACACAGGACAATTTACTTCCTACTGCTCCAGAATTCTTTTTATGATACTGCATATGGAATTTGAATTTAAAATTTCTTTTTTATTCCAGAAGTTAATTGAAGTGATAACACATGCTCAGAGGCTATCACGGTAGAAACCAAACAGTGGACACATGGAATTAGTGTTCATCTTTAGAATGGCACCTATTGTTTTGGTAGTATTTTGAATTCCTTAACTATGACACAGTATATTCCTACTCAATCTAGTTAATTTCCTCAACTTTTATGAAAAGCTTTGGGCCCACTGCAAACACAGGACTGAAGAGCAAGGCAAAACAGGCAAATCCCAGTACAAGAGCAGAAATTAACATTTTCAAGAAAGACAGCCCCGAAAGAGGACAAAGGATGTACGTCCTACCAATATAAATGTGCCTCAGCTCCAGAAAGAGCTTTGAAAGAGCAAAGCAGAGGATTCAGGTGACACTGACTACTTCTGTCAGAAGAAGCCCTTCACAGAATCACGCCCACCTCAGCCAAGGAGCTGAAATCCACCCCATCTAGGGAGATCCTGCTCGGTTCAGTCTCTCTCAAGCTAACGGTTCCTCATTGCAGGGAGACAGACACGTCCCCCAGCTTCCTTCCTGGCTGTGAGTTCACAAAAAACTTTTTTTTTTTTTATACTCTATCCCATCTTCTTCCCTAAACAAATACTCCATATCTACAGTGTCAAACTGGTACCTATCAAGTTAACTCAAAAAGAAACTAGGACTTACCCAGGTATCAAAAAAACTTGAATACAAACTTGATTTAGATACACTTAATTTAATTTTCCTAATATGAAAAACAAACCAAACTTTTTTTTTATTTTAAAGATTGTAGCATTTCCTCAATAGAAATTTATTAACTCATTTTCTCACATTTTATCAACTTTTAAAATCATGATTCTAAACAAATATATCTTTACAGGCACTTCATTTAGGAGGCTTTAAAATCTTAACAGGGTTTGACACAGCACATTCAAGAATATCAGACCATAAATTCTTCCGGAGAGGGCTTCTTGCATAAAAACGAATACATAAAAATAGAGCTGCCACAGTAAACAGCGAGTAATGCAGCACAGAAATGGGCATGCACTGGGTTGCCAAGCATTGGACCAGGCTGCCCAAGGAAGTGGTTGAGTCCTCATCCCTGGAGAGATTTAAAAGCCATGAAGATGTGGCACTTAGGGCCATGATTTAGTGGTGGACTTGGCAGTTAATGGTTGGACTTAATGATCTTAAAAGTCCTTTCCAACCTAAACAATTCTATCATTCTATGATTATCAGCACTGTATTAAAAAAGTATTTTTAAACATATCTGAATTCAAATTATAAATTTATAGAAGTACAGAACAATTAAGCATGATAATGAACTAGTAAGTCCTTAAATGAAACAAGAATCTGTATATACTTATATTTAAACCAAACCTCCCATCACAATTATTTCTGTGCTTATTACTCATTTATTTCAGAAGTAAAACATAACTTTGCTCCAAATAAGAGACCTAGTCTGGCCTGAGGGTACGCCAGGATACTCCAGACCTTTTCCCAGTTTGGGACTTAGCTAGAACGATGACCACTTCAAACAGGCCTCCTCTGTTTTCTGCCTGAGGAGGCAGCAATGCAAACTAATCAGAATTGTGAAGGATCTGCTAAATTGCTCCTTTGCACCCACCTCAGCAATACTTGCTAGAGAATCTATCAGAATTCTTCTTAAAATAGCTTTCAGCATGAGAAATTAAAGAAAACCTAGCTCTGCAAGGCTTGGTTTTTTTGGTTTGTTTTGTTGTTTTTTGGGTTTTTTTGTTTGTTTTTCTTTAAATATAGCAGTCCTACACTGCCTTACAGTATGTTGATGTTAAAAAAAAAATACTAATTTCCTGAATTATTCCAATGCAAAAACACTTACACCTACTATATGGAAAGAAAAATAAGGCACCCAATAAAGGAAGAGTTCTCTCAATTTAGTTATACCTAGCGATATTACCCAGTGGGCAGAAACCAAAACCTTCCTCAAATCAAGCCAATATTATCAAGTTGTCAAACAATGTGTGAAGAACAATACAGTAACATCCTTTTCATCTCTCTAAAACAGTAGTCTGAGGCATTATGCTATTTCTTTTGCATTTTAAGAATAGATTGAGAGGAGAATGTTACACATCCCTTCTAACAGCAATACTTACCTCAGGATACATTAAAGCAAAGGTCTTGTAAATATTACAAGTATGTCTCTTTCTGACATACTTCAACTTTGACAGCTATCCAACCCAAGCCACAGGTCTTAGGAATATTGAAATATAACTGGTTTTGACAATTCTTACAGATTTCACGCAACATTCCAGTTTCAGGAAGTCTAAAGTTGGGTTAAATTTACTGTGTTGTTATTTCTCCTGTTTGCCCTTTCCGTTCAATTCCTCATTCATTTAAACAACTTACATCTATCTCTTCTCCTGATCTATTTATCAAGCTACCGCTGAGAATACTTCAAAGCTGTAGTTAAAAAAAAATAAATCATATACATGTACTGCAAAAGCTAAAGTAACTCTGCAGGGAAACAGTGCCAAGGAAAAAAAACTCAGTTGTAGATTTTTCTATAAACAGAACACATGAAGCGCTTCAGTGAATAAAGCAGAGACAACTGAATTGCAGGGCTCCTTCCATAAATGAACCTAGTCTGCAATGCTTTTTACTCTCTATGTGGGCGTATGTATAAATAAATGTGACATTAAAGAATGAGTACACAGCAGAAAAATGAATTAGCTTTTCAGAAATAAAAAAACATGAATAATGAAAGTGTAACTTCTGGTGTTTGAGATTTTTGTTTTGTTTTATAAAAAAAGGCAGATTTTCTTTTAACAGAAACATCACCTGCTATTTAAAAATCTCCATGAGTAACTTCAACCCTTCTCACTCATTGTTCCAGTTACCAATTCACTGATATTCTGCTAATACACCATGACTATTTGTAAAGAACAATCTTGATCAAATTGAAGAAATCCACCTAATTCATACATATAGGTATCACCTTCTCAAATATGTATGAGAAAATTTACTGTCTTTTAAATGCTAAAGCTTGAAACAATAAAAGACCTTCACATCTATTTTTTTCAAAATATCTAGAACAAGCAACAACCATCTTTCTTAAATAAACAAAAAACCACAGTACAAGCTTCCATTCAGCCCAGTCATTACCATGTAACATATATTTCAAGGTGTTGTAACATACAATTTAATGTGAGTGATAGTTTAACGTTTTCTTATATATCGCAAGAATTACAGGGCTCTTGAGAACGCGTAGTAGTGTACTCCTGCAGTTATTAAAATGTCTTCATTGTACTTTTACCTCAAGTTACCACTTCATGCATGCAGTTATTGCATCTAGCCAAAGTACTTGGTGACTGCATAATTATGTTTATACATTACTATAATTTTAATGAAACACTTGAACTGTGTTTAATCTCTGTTTGACCAGGACAATTTATATATACACATTAGGCTGCTCCACTTCTGCTTTTCTGGTTTCACTACTATTAGGTACATACTATACATTTATATCAACAAAAAAATAAATGCTTTCTCTTTAGAAAATGTATAGTATAAGTAGCAAACAAACATTTCTGTACATTCGACAGTAATCCTTCCCTAAAATAACTATTTAACAGTAAACTAATAGTATTGTTCTCAAAGATTTTATTCAAATTTTCACAGGGTCAACTCAGACTATTAGCTGCAATAGCAGACAGTTTTGGCTCAAGCAGAAGCATTCTGTACAAACTGGATGCACATTTTCTGATGAAAGCTCTCCAGTCAGCGCATCAGCCTTGGTTGTTTCCTGCCCATAATTGTCAAAAACTCCTGATACATGTCTGCTATGAACAGAAAGCTAACATATCAGAAGGTACATTAATTAAAGAAATCCTACCTTAGTGCATCAGCTCCATAACTATTGACAATACTCATTGGATCAGGGTAATTCTTCTTCCTTTTGCTCATTTTTTGGCCATCACTAGAAAATATCAGAATTTAGGCATAAATTCCCAGAATTCTTGTAATACACAGATAAAGAAAAAAGGGCCTTTAAATCCCGCTTAATTTTTCTGTCCTACTATGTTCTTGGTAGCATAGACATAATTATATATTAGCACATCATTTCAATATGACTGTTGAACACACGAGAGCAACTAAAGGAAAAAAAAACCCAACCCCACACCAAACACCCAACCCAAAAGAATCCCAAGTTACAAATCTAAGCAGGAAATCAGGAAATCTGTCTTTCCTACCAAAGCTGAGGGAAGATGCACTTGTTTTGAATCAAATGTGAAACCCTCCAGCCCACTGACAAAGCTTTATATGAAAATAAAGGGAAACAAATAGAATTACCTTAGTTAAAATTACATCTAAAATTATAATCCCCTTTATCCTGCATAACAGGTATAATTTATTTCCTATTCTTTCTTATCCTGACTCGTTCCTCATTTTCTCTCTCTCTAGGAAGGACTAATGCTGCTACAAAGAACCTAGCGCAACAGATAGCTGAGGTGTGTAAACCTCACACTCTCAGCTGCCTCTTACCTCCTGGAACACCGATATCTCCCTGGCAAGTCTTACCAGCTCCAAAGTCCATTTCAGATTTAATTTACAATTTGCAGGGACTTATCTGAAATATTCTTTGACTAAAAATCTGTTCAGAAGAGAACTGATATACCAACCTGGCAAGAACAAGGCCATTCACAATTACATTCTTGAAAGGAGGCCTTCCAAAAAGAGCAGTGGACAGCACCAGCAAAGTGTAGAACCTGAAACAAGAGACAACGTAAAAGTGACTTTCTAAATATGCCAAAAGTCTGCATGTCCTTCATTACAAAAGAAATTTTTCATTACGTTGTTTCACTCTAGCAAAGTTAAATTTTAAGTATGTGGAACATTTATGTGGCAAAGACTCAGAAGGGGAACTTATTTTAAGTAGACCTTTTTCCTTTTTGTAGCATATCGTGCTGTTTCCTCAGCTGTGATCTACTAGTCCAAGAAGGCTCAAACATTGCAATAGTAAGCCTTAGGAAGGTGATGAAGAAAATTGTAGCATTTTCGCCTTTAATACAGAAAAGAGAAAAGTCCCTAAACAAGCTCCCTACTTGCTCACTGTAAACTGCTGAACACAGGATCAGTCAGGCACAAACACAGCAGACAGGACTGGCACACTTTGGGTGTGTGTGTGTTAATGTGTGTATTCTTCAACCTAGGAGAAGACAGAAGAGTTACTTGCTGGGAGCATAAAATTAATTTAGCTAAAGTGAGCAGAGCCTCCTTCTGATCAAACAAACTTAGCTGGTTGAATTAGCCGTCACTAGAAAATACGAGAATGTAGGCATTCCCCACAACAAAGGGCTGTAGGGGATCCCCCCCCCCCTCCATTTGGTGTGTTTACAATACCTGTATAGACTATGACACTTCAGAAATCAGTGATGGAGCAGGCAAAGGCACTGATTGTTCAGTATGTCGATAAACTATCATAGCTGAGAAATTAAATGGAGGTGCAAGATGATGTGATAATTTCACACTCAGGAGTCAGATCCTTCACCAAAGGAGGTATATATGAGCTTCTGTAACCGCACTGCTGGTAGTTACTTTTAAGAAAATAACTGGAGGGCGGGCCACAGCTTTCCTGGTTAAAAATAAGTATCACACTGACAATTGCTTAGCAACCTTAAAACAGCAGATGATCATACAAAAGCTAATTGATTTAGAGTAAGGCATGGGAGGTTATGCCTCAGAACTACACATGTGCATGAAGATTTAGTGGAGAAACGCTTTAATATAAAAAAAGTCCACCTGTATATTCTCAAGTAGTTTTTGTCAAAAAGCTGCCTGTAATTGCAAAAATCATTATTCTGACACTTGAGGGTCCAAAGCTCTGTAAAGGTTGCTGTGTGCATTACTGCATTTATTAAGTGGCTTACATGGCAACTCCGATGCTTCTCCCTCAGACAGGCTTTTAACTCTCAAAATCACCTCAATTCACACTGCAGGATACAAATTCTCCTTATTAAATTGCATTGTAATTTCATGAATTTTAACCAGCGCTCCTCTACCTGCACACAAACAAATGCACTCAAACCCCCCCATCTTAATTTTTAACCTTCCTAAGAAAATCCCTAAACACAAACATCTGAGCATTTACTCAGATGACTGACACCTCAAGCCTACAAGACGGAGAGTTCATTACAAACACAGTAGTACTTCTCTAGTACTTAGTAGGAAGGTACCTCATTGACAAACTCCCATCACTTTCTGCAAACTGGCCACAAATTGTCCTATTGGAGCAGGTGCATTTGCAATTAAAAAGAACAAAGCAGAACCAACTACAAGAGATTTCAATACTGTTTGTATTGGGAAAATTGTACAGACTGTGGGCACTTAAAAAAATACATCCAAGAACTTTCACAAATTTTTTATGCTATTTGCATTCTCAAACCTGGTGAGCCTCAGCAACGAGGTATCTTAGTTGATGACAGTTACGAGACTGTCTTGGATATCCTGTGACCCACTGGTTTACACACCATTCTGACATAATGCTTCTCATTATTTTACAGATTATGCTGTTTAAATAATTCACCTCATTCACTGAATATTTTAAGGGAGTGTCTCTCTGCACCTTATTTTTGAAATATCTTGCCTACAGATACATTTGTTTCTGACAGCTTTCTTGAATTACCTCTGCTGCTTCATCTTCCATTCACCAAATTTCAGCCTGCTTCTAGTTTTGTCCTTGCAACTATATAGCTATCAGCCAAAACAATACTGAAAACCACCTAACTCCAGAAAATAAGTCTGCTCCTTTGCTCTTCCCTCCTCTTCCAATCTCCCCAAAAGAGAGAAAGCATTACCTCCCCATTTTCTTCTTTCTGAACAATCGTGGGTAAATTCATAATCCTGTGGTTCAAGCCAAAACCCTTCAGCTGTGAATTCCCTTTACGCCACTACATTCTGACCATGACTATAAATCTTGTTGCATCTCCCTTTATACCACCAGAGATAGAGCCTTGCCTACCAATCTGTCCAGACTGACAGTCTTGCACCCAACTAGCATAAGATTTTTTCTTCTCTGGCCTTAACAAATATAATTCAGCTCTTTCTCATATCTGTGCAGAAATTCATTAAAAAGATCACTCTCCTAACTCATGACCTTGGTCAAATTGATTTTCCCCTTGTCTCACTTCACTTTCTCCCCTTCTCTGTTGAAACAGAAGCCACTGGATCTCCACCGCCTGAGCCTTTTACTACCTACCAGTCCTCACTTGACATCAGCTGTAGTCTCTGACATGACACAAACCCAATCTTCATCCTGAATCTTAACACTTTATATGGAATGCTTGAAATAAAAACCACAAACTATGCTCTTAACACTCCAGAACTCACCAGCTTGTTGTTCACATAAGCCTATTATGCTATAGCACTGTCATAGTAGCAGAAAAATACATGTATTTTCTCTTCAACTTATCCTCATTCTTCCAAGACTTAGGAAAAGGGTACCTAAGACCCTAACAGTTTTAGAATAAGAACCCTTCTTAAGAACACCCTGAGTCAGCTTTACCTTTTACCAAAAACCCCCACCACCTCACACCTTAATTCCTTCCTTCTTTCACAAAACAGAAGTGCTCTTTTGCAAATCACAGAACACTAGCTGTTATCAAAGCACCAGCTTATTAACAGGCACGAGCACCGTGGGAAAGGTATAAGCATTACATATTGAGGCAAGTGTTTCGATATTCCACCCACAAACAGATGAGACAGACTTGAGTATGGTAGAGACTTGCAGTAACTCTAGTGCTGATGTTAAAAACAAAAAGCAATCTACTCCAGTTTGCAGTGTGAAAGTCTCCATTTGCACATTGCCTATGGTACACAACACAAGGGTGTGGGCTCAAACAGAAGCACAGCAGGTTATGTCTACAACCACAGAATCACTGCTGGCATTAGCACTAGCTTGGACTGCTCTTCTTATTTTTTCAGGGCCAATCTTCAGCTGAATTAGTGAGATCATTCAGTTCAGCCTACTAAGGAAAGGGAAAAAAGCTGCCTATCCACAGGTTACATTTACTATTTAAAACAGAAAAGAATGTTATAAACCAGAAACATGATAGTGCATCTGGATGTTGCCCTGCACTTAAGTTCAGATTAATATCATACTATAAAAAGGCCAGCTTGTGTAAAAATTACAAATACATTCTTTAATGGCACTAGAGAGCTTCATTGAACACATATGAGATCAGACTTATCTTTTCATCTGTCATGCCTCCCACACATGCTTCAAAGGACAACACTAAAAGAAACACTGCAGTAAGTGTGTGTGACACATACTAATCCGCTGTGACATCCCAATCTCAAATAGCTAAACCCTGAAACCTAAAATTTATCATTCCTCCTATATTTTTACTGGAATTGTAACAACCAAGAATAGATATTGTATCTACATAAAATTCCCCAGCTATTTTTAATTCTGCTGAACTTTTACAATTCTGTAGCTCCCTTGCACAGTGTAAGTATGATTACATGTTGTTGATTTTTTTCTTCCATTTTTTTGGCATCTAAATTACAATAAATGCCCTTTTATCTTTATAAAATGTAGGAGGAAGAAATGAGTTTCTGACCATGCCTTTTGCATGCATTTTATACATCCTTATTGTGTTCTTTCATTTGTCTCTTTTCTTAAAAAAAAAAAAAAAAGCACAAATTTCTAATTTTTTTCAGACAGAATAAAAAAAAAAAGATGTAAAACTAAGGGTTTTATTCTCCTTTTGTGGGCATAATGAACAACATTGCAGAAAGACTAAGACATGGAATCACTAATATTACAACTTTTTAATCAGCAATTTTTCTCCATTCCTTCTTCATTCTAACACTGTACTAGCCTGCCCCAGTTCCCAAAGCACAGCTGCTGCAGAGAAAGCGGGTTTTTTCCCATATAAACAAAACCTATCACTTTTCTTCAAGACGAAACAGGTATTATTTAAGTATATAGTAGATAACATTCAATTTTATATTTAATATTTCCTAAATTAGCATTTGTCAAATTAACAGTGTTGTATCCACATGCTATACGCAACAGTAAAGAAAGCAAAGTAAATGAAGAAATGTAGGGGTCACTGTGTATACTGGATCCAACACTGCTTGAAGAGCAGCAAGCACAAAACAGTGACCTGCAAATGAGATCAGGATGTCTACTGCTGGGTTTCATGCTACTCAACAGTACTTAGCTGTATACTAACACTGAAAAGCACCTTGGCTATTGGCTAATAGGCTGTCATATACAGTTGTGGAAAGCACAAAGTTTAAGACCAATGCAAACAGATGGCCTAACAAATACTACTTTGGGGGGGGAGGAGAAAGAGAAGTAAAAAAAAAAAAAAAAAAAAAAAAAAATCAAAATCACTATACATGTAAGAGGCCAGTTTTAACTAAGTTCATCAGGTTGCCCTAATTCTGACCTGTCTGAAGTACTGCTTTGAGGACCCATTACAAACATAATGTATAGCACTCACCAGGTAAGGGGCAGTTATAACCTGAGAAATATTTAATATGCCATGAGGAGTCCAAGTTTCACTAAGCAAGATTGAAGTGGTCCCTCCCTAACTGCCAGACTTGCAGACGTAACTTCCAATTTGAGGACCTAGATAATTTTTTGCATCACAAGTAAGGGGTTGAAAAGCAAAGACACCTTTCGCTACATTCATGAAACTTACTTCTATTAGCACTATGCCGCAAATCTTTCCTTGCTCAAGCCTCCTGGCTTTGAGAGCATTTATAAACCTTGATCTCAACTTCACAAACACACAAAAGTGCACCTCTTACTGCTTTGTGTTGGTTGTTGGTTTGTTGGGGGAGTAGAGGAGTGGGCAAAGGGAGGTGCCAACTATGCTCCAGAGGAATTTAGTTTATTTAACTCTAATAACTCAAGTTACTGGATGGAAGAGTTCTACTTGCACATAGTCAAATGTACTAATCCAGAAAACACAAAAATTAATCTTAAAAATCTGTTGGTTTTCACAGACAACCTCAAGCTTCAAAAATAGAATAAACACTTAAAAATGCCAAAACCAAAACTATATGTATACACGCATGTTGGTACAAGAACATTACTCAAAAATCTGGGATTAGAGAAAATTTTTCAGGAATGATTGAAAAGCATTTATCTAGAGAGAAATCAAATACACAGATGAAGTTTACAGTTAGAAAATTCGATTTTTGCAAACTATAAGATCTTAAGAACATAAGGTTTGAGTTAATTTGTTTTTTCCTTACTCATATAAGCCCAAAATTAAAATTAAAATCTAATCAGGGGGTGGGATGGCGTGGTGGAATTACTAGCCTATACATTGGCATGAAATCCTGAAAACATTGACTTCTGTTTCAACTGACTCAATAGCTGTTCTGTTTCTAGTAGATAACTCAAGTTCTACAATAATTCAGCCGCTGAGATTCTTCCTTACCAGGCCAAAGACCTGCCCTATTACCTAATGATGTTTTCTACAAGAGCCAGGAAGATTGCTTGCTAACATGGAGTCCATCTGCAACGTTTTTGTTCACCAAGCTTTAGAACACCTTGCATTTTACTGAAAAAAAGAAATCACTTATCTCTACAACATTAAAGGATCATCCAGATCTAATAGTGTTAGACACAGGGCAATAATATCACAAAGTGGCAGAAAATTACCATCCTCTTGTTTGGTCAATGCCTTCAGCAATGAAGTCAGCAGGGAAAGCATCTTCAAGTTCTCTTTTGTTTTCAAATGGATAATGGACTTGTGCATAAGGCATGCTTCCACTCTCAAACCAGCAATCAAAAACCTCAGGGACCCGGTGCAGTAAGCCCTTGCCACAGTGTGAAGGGATAGTTAGGTGATCAATACTATGGGAAAGAAAAAGATTAACAAATTCTTAACAAAAACACGAATTACCACAAAAAGTTGATGTTATGCTTGCATATTAGGTATGACAGGAGTTTTGGTTTTTATTTTAATGATTATTCAAAAAGGTCAGCATTTCCTTTGACATTTTTATAATTTAAAAGCTATTTTAGAGATTTATTTATTTATTTATTTTTAACAGTGTCCAAGACAGAAGGAAGGAAAAGTTGTACATATTAATTGCAAGTCCTCTTACTTCTTTTCTGTTTTCCCTAAATCTGTTTCCCAGGTTTGGGCAAAGAAAACCAGTATTTTTTTATGTCTGCTCAACTATTTTTAATAACTAGTTAACAGTCTCTGTGACCAACCTTTCTCGATGGAGATCAGTGACTTTCACTCCAGACAGCTCTTCCAATTCTGCCATCGAACCAATACAAACTACCTGTAAGAGACATTCAAGAAATTTAGTCAGTTATTTGCACACAGTAGCAATTATTTTATTTTTTTTTAACATTAGACAGGAGAGTTACAGGTCACCCAGTACCGTCTAAAGTAGCTGATAAAGCAGAGAAGCCAGTAAAAATTTTGTACAAGGTCCCCTTCTTCAATCTAACAAAGCAGCAGATGATGTTAGAGACCAATGGCCTGATTTAATACAATTCATGTCAGAATAATTGAAGACTTCGAAGAAGCAGCATGTTGTCAGGTATCAAAAAAGGCAGGGTTTTGCTGTTTGGGTTTTTTTTTATTTTTCCAAACAACCCAGAACACAATCATCTCTGAAAATTCAACAATCCTGACTTTTATACAGATAGAAGTTTCAGATCCCAGGCTCCTCTTCTGAAGCTAAGGCAAGCAGCTAAATCACTCATAATTGAGGATAAGCGTTCCATCCCAAGTACACTAAACTGTTCATGTTAATGGCTTCTTATTTAAAATGAAAAAAGTGTCACAGCCTGTTGTTAAGAAAGGTACTGACTTTTCTTGGGTTTGTTGCATCAAAACACTACCTAAGAAAAAAAGCAAAAGGTTTCAGCAAGAGACTTGCATCAACATCATGAAATGTTGATGAAACAAATGATTCTGAAAAAACTCTATGTAGGAGACAAGGAGAAAAGCAAAGCTTTCTTTGCTTTATGTTTTAATCAAGTTTAACCTTCCCAGAGCCCTGTGGTCTTCTCTCATCTGGCAGGATTCACAAGCCGCAAGCTCCAGTACAGGTCTGGATTTTGGAAATCCAGTCCCACACGCTACCAGTCCAATTTAGAATTGCCATGGAAAAAAACAGGCTTTGACAGATCTGACAGGGAAGGAGTTAAATGCACCCACGTAAAGAAGCTGTAAGTAGGCTAGACATTTTTCACTAAGATAACTTTCTAAGTTGCTCTTAGGCTACAGTAAGTCAGAGTACTGCTCAATTCCTATAGCTAGTCTTAAATACACGCATATGTATATGCACACAGAAATTGTGATGAACGAAAAGGTTTTGGTGTATTTCATTCCAAAAAACTGTCATGAATTACAGAGAAGATAAAAACTCAGTCAGATTTCAATTTTCAGCCATGATTTTCCTAGCCTGATTCAACTGCTGATCTGCATTACTGATCATTGTTAAAGTAGTTTTGAAATGTAACTTTTTCATTACTTACCTATTTATCTCATTTTTCTATAGGAAGTGAAGCATTACAATGATTACAACAGTCAAGTACAACAGTCTGCAGTTTGCCTAGCAAACCACACCAGGGGATTGATCCCAGTTAAAAACACAACTTTATCAACAAACTATTTTTAACCCAGATCTGTTCTTCATTCCCTGTGTGGCCCCACAAGCAATCACATAAGCTCAAGTGAGCAGGCAGCAGGTGCTGAGCTCAGCACTGCTGAGCAGAAGAAAAGGTTTTAATAGCAGCATGGGTAAAAAAAATACTCCTGGATACACGGATTCCTTCATCTTCGCTAACCTTAATATTTGAACATACTTTCACACTATGCTCTAGATTAGAAGCTGCCCCTTAGTTGCTGCTTTTCAACCAAGCATTTCAATACATAAGTAAAATTCTGAATATTGGATGCATCTGCAGAACTGCACCCAGCAGAACATATTCATAGAAGCAATAACCTCATGACCACATGAAAAATCCAGCAACCACCAGAAGAATGCAGATACCACCATACTGAACAAGACTGCCTCTGTCTTACAGAAGGATGGAGCTACTCTGTCCCAAGGATAGCTCAGTAGGTACTGGAAGGCAAGAGAACATACAGCAAGTAGATGCTAATCAAATCCAATCCCTCATTAGGCCACACCCACTCATTTCTGCAAGGAACAAACTAATTTATGCTCTCAAATTAAAGCTATTGCTTTGGATACGTTTCTTCAACAGCAACATCTGCTTTAGTAGCCTGGCCCCTACCAGTCACTTGTTATTCCTCTATATCATTTTTCAGGCACATCAACTACAAAACCAGCTATACCAACATTTAATAATAGACAGCAAAGACTGAAATAAATAGGATGGGACTGGGAGCTGTTCAACCCTGTTTCAGCATCATAGAGACCTAATGTGAAATCAGAGATCAAGGTTAAATACTACTAATGAAATGAACAGCAGCATTATATCCGGGATTATCCATGTAAATAGGAAGAATAAAGCCATCCGGCAGCATTCATGGACCTCGATGTTCCTGTGACATAGTTCTGCAGTCCCTATTAAATAAAAATGTTTACTTCTATTGGTTTGTTATTTCAGCTCTGTTAAGTACCTATAATTGAAGAGTAAGTGTTCATGGAAAGAAAGAAGTCCAAGCAGTGCGTCAGTATATCAGCAAGACATACTGGGATCTTCAGAAAGCATCTTCTGAATAGTAATTAGTAAAACAAATGACTGCTAAGGTCATCTAAAAGGGACATTCTTAATGCAGCCTCAAAGCAGGCTGGAAACAGGCTAAAGAAGTTCCCTCACCCTTCACAAGAACACAGCCAGGGTCCTCCCATTCCAAATCTGTTATGCAAGGCTGAGCGCACCAAAACTAGTGGAGGGTTAACAGTTTACGTGAGTGACAGACAATGAAACAATCAGAGGATTTCTGTAACATCACTGAATATTTAATACTATAATTTGTATGTAAGTCCTAAAAAATTAGCCTATGTCCACTTTATCAGCTTGAGTGCTGTGTTAAAAAATTTTATCATCTAATCCAAATGAGATGTGTTCCTCCACTGAGGAAATCATTGATAATTGAGAGTTTAAAATAACATGTCTGCAAAAATGTGGTAATAAACACAAGCTTCAAAATTTAACTTCCATTATGTGTCTCTACCTGATAATTATGCTAAAATAAAACTGAAAACTGTGGGAAACCAGGTATTTGTAATAAAATTCACTTTAATATAAATTAATTCACCTTACTGTATATTAAATACGGAACTGTTATTACTTCTCCAGGATTTAATATGTACAGCATAATTGCATGTGACAAAGCGTTCTTTTGGAACAAGACATGAAGAGGAGGCTCTGAAATCTCACATGGCACTAGGCTGCGGTAAAACCAAAGTCAGGAAATTTTGAGTGAATACGATAGGAGAGCAGATGTCACTTAGGCCTTAAGTTCCACATCAGTTCCAATGGTATTTAGTTTGTAAGCTATATCCTGCATGCATAAAGAGAGGGTGAATATTAAAAAAACCCTAACCCGAAATTTAGCATGGTCCAGAAGCCATACTTGACTACTGAAGCATGACATTCAGACTCCGGAGTAAACAGAAATTTAAAACATCTATGGATAAAAGTAATAGATCTGTTGGTATTTCTATCATTATTCAGAACACCATGCCCTGAGGAATATTTGCAGCTAACTTCAAAGGAAAGGTCAATCTTCTAAGCTAAGCATTATATTATTATTAAAAAACCCCAAATCAAACCTAAAGAAAGCAAAAAAAAATCTGTATATACAGGAATAGAAACATTGGGAGACTGGACCAAAACCGAAATATTATTAGAGGCAAGGTGTGGGAGTAATGGAATCTTTACACAATCTTTTTCAGCTGTAGAATGAAGTCTTGAAATACTTCAGCACAAAAATGAAAGCCTTTTCTCTACCTAAAAAAAACCCCATTATACCAAACAAGGGATTTAAAAGTTTAGTTTGAAGACTTGTGGTTTATACCTAAAAATTTCGAATGTTAAAAACTGTTATATGAGAGACTGAAGCACTTGGTTTGCCAGTAGTTTACAAACATGCTCATAGCGTAAATAGAATTCAAATGCCAAGGCCTTCTGAGATACTTTAATCATAATTGCAAGGAGTAACTCCCTCCTTCCCCAAATATCTCCCTGCCTATCAGCAAAATTCCAACAGAGAGGAAATAAAAAATGCTTTATGGTGCACATCTAAGCAATAGGGCAGTTTAAGACAATAATTTTCTAGCATACGTTTTCCTGTTTGAGGTCTTCCACATCTAGAACAAGAAGTAAAACTTTTTCAAATCAAGGGAAATAAAAACAACGGCTTGGGATGCTGCCATCAGTGTTTACCTTCCACGGACATCCTGACACTAATTAGCATTTCCTGCTTCCAGCATGAGGAAGATTTGTCATACAAGTCTAACAGAACTAACCCACACAGGAAAAAAAATAATTTATCCTCAGAACAGTTTTAGATTTGGTATTTTGACACTTAGAAAACAGCAGTCATCAAAACTGTGTGAAGTATTCAGTTGTGCAGTTAGCTTTATGCTACCAACTGCAGGGTACCTCACAAGTTCAATGAACTCATTTCTAGCATTCCCATTATACACTTTCATCATTCCACTAGATTCACATTTTTACAGTCTGTTACATTCACATTTGTAGCACTACAAATATATATTTTCACTGTTCGACTATGGTGGACTTGCTTTTACGTCTTCAGTAATTCATTTGGCTTGAAGTAACTGAGCATCAGAATTTCAAAAACAGACTGAAAGGACTGAATAAAAAAAAAATCTTCCTTGCCATTTTCTCACTGCATTTGTTATTTCCATTAGATTTACCATTACTGCAAATTATTCCCAGGGAGCCAAGATTAGTTCTAATATAAAAACCAAGTAAAATTGCTTGCCGTTTTCAAGCAAAAGCTAGAAAATGTGTATGGGCACACAAATGCATGCATACATATTCATATATCTATCACCTATTATAGATACACATATACTGTTAAGACGTATTAACAGAACTTAAGACTGCAGCAGCTGAAGATATAACAGTCTATCAAAATAAGCAAATTACATATGCAGATAGGCTTTTCTGTCAACTAGAAACCTTTGTTTTCTTACTCACCTCTTCAAAATCATTGCTGACCCACAAAGGGATGGGTGTTCCCCAGTACCGGTTTCTAGATATAGCCCAATCTCGTGCCTCTTTAAGCCAGTTCCCAAAACGCTTCTCCCTCACAAAATCCGGAACCCTGTTCCGAAAACAAGAAGTGTTCTTTTATCACTACATTCCACTTAAAGAAAGCTAGTAAGAATGCTTATATTTTATTTAATCCACTATATAAGTTCATTTCAGCACGTTGCTTAAATTGGAACACATTTGTATTGCTGCACTGGCAATTCCAAGGCCTATAGACTTTGCTGCCAAAGTAACACCATTTCCTCTGCTTTCTTTGGTCTTCAAGTAAGCAATAGAAGTTGGAAAATACCGTATTTATTTTACTCTCAAATAACTCAGTAAAAATGTGTGCAACATACAATAGACTCACTAAGGATAAAACAATGTTCAAAAATCTACAAGGTAGTCTAACATTGGAGGATTAGGGCTAAGGGTAGATAACAATACTACTGTGCTTTATTTTACATACAGGAAAAAAAATACCAGACACTATTTATAGTGCTAAATGAAATTACAAAGTTTAAAAAGCTTGGAGTAAATGCATCAAAAAGTACCTTGCATTATGCATGAGCATCCAGGTATCTGCACATTACTTTTAGACTCCAAGAAAAAAAGAAATCCCAGGTTGATATATGCTACAAAAAAGCCTTTTCACACTATATATCATCTCCACTTTTAATTCTCCGATTAAAAAACAAAACACCACCAAACAAAAAAAAAACCATACCGATGCTCGCTAAAAAACTCATTACGAGCACTAATGGGCTCTGAGGGATGTTAAAGACAAATCTTCACCATATGAAAATGTTTTGGAGCCCAAAGGTTAACACGAGAATCTGATGCCTAGCAAGTTTCCTGGATATGCTAAACAGCCTGATGTTTTGATTTGTTTTATCTTATGATGTAAACAAATAATTAACGATTTATACAATTATTATATAGCAGATGAGGAAAAACAATGAGTTTTGAGGTCAACAATATACCCCCTTCATGCCTAAAGGTGCATTTAGAAATACCAGCCTCAAATGAAACACACACAGGAAGAAAAACCTTAAGATACCCAAGATGCACAGAAGCTGTGAATATAGAGCTAACAGTCACAGAATCACAGAATGGCAAGGGTTGGAAGGGACCTCAGGAGATCATCCAGTCCAACCCCCCTGCTAAAGCAGGTACTCCTAGAGCATGTTACACAGGACTTTGTCCAGGTGGGCTTTGAATATCTCAAGAGAAGGAGACTCCACAACCCCCCTGGGCAGCCTGTTCCAGTGCTCTGTCACCCTCAAAGTACAGAAGTTTTTCTTCATATTCCACTGAAACCTCTTATGTTTCAGTTTGTGCCCATTGCCCCTTGTCCTGTCACTGGGCACCACTGAGAAGAGCCTGGCTCTGTCCTCGTGACATCCACCCTTAAGATATTTGTATGTGTTGATGACGTCCCCTCTCAGTCTTCTCTTCTTCAGGCTAATAATATAAATAACTCTAGAATTGAGTCATTGAGTCATGACAATGCCATGTTGAGATCTAAAGACTTCTTGATGCCAATGTTGCCTCAGGTGGATAAAAAGTACTGTTAAAAGGCTCACTAAGTACCAGCCTGAAGTTCCACACCTTCACCAGTCATTTCTAGATTTACTTTCAGCTACAAAGTTATCTCCTGTAACATTTCTTAAACAAAAATGTAGTATAAAAAAATATTAAACAAATTCAGTGACTAATGTTTCACATGACATCCATATCCCTGCTTTAAAATTTAGACACGTATACAGGCTTTCACAATTTGTTTTAGAGCAGGACTCATTACTATTAACTTTTTGCTGTGACCTTAAGAGACACTCTCCCCAAACACAAGTGGAAACTGTACGAAGATCATTAGCATTTGCCTAACATTCCACTAATGTGGAAAACTTCTCTTTACATCACTCCTAAACTAGTTTCCATTTTTCAGAAGTTGTTAGACACTGATTAGGTGAAATTATTAGTCCCATTTAACATAGCTAGAGGCTGAACAATCCCCCAAAGACATTAAAATGCTAAGAGTTTCAACTCTGCCTCCTCAAAACATGCATTAAAAATTAATTTTATCCCCAAAGTGGACATTAACCACAAAAATGTATGTGGTGTGTTATCTCTCTCTCTGAGCTATGAAAGCATATAATTTACCTCTTCTGGTAAAATTGTCTGACCCTGCTGTCAGTTCTTAGCGGAACATAAAACACAAACCACTTCATCTACTATGAACCACATTTGCAACAATGATTTGTGGCACTTTAGAGGTACAATACAGAAATAACACTGACAGCTATCAAATAAAATAAAAAGAGCCTGTGTATTGAATACACTTTGAGCCCAGTCAAAGAGTGTTACTTAAACCAATTGGTTCTTACCGCTGCGCAGATGCTGCCCATACATGCTACCCAGGTATCAGTGGATACAGTCTCCAACTGGGAACAAGCTGGAGAAGCTATCTGCTACAGAGAACAGCCTTGCCAGTCATGCAGTTCTTCAAGACCACAGCCTGTTCCTCTTATTTAGTCTCACTAGATTTAGCTACAGATATTTCAGTCTGACACTTCTGACTTACCTACATATCATAGGAAAAAAAAATTAAAAAAAAGACACACCTTCTATTTCAGTATTTCACTAGGCTGGGAAGACTATAGAATAGAGTATTCTCAACAATGTGGTTACTAACACCTGATCATTATATTACACCAACTCCAGGTTAGTGTTTTTTTTCCCCATTTCTTTTTAATCTTCTCCTAGATATTTTCTTGGTATACTTTTCCTGTTAAACTTTATTAAAGATAACATCCTGCCACAGGTTTATATTATTAGGTAAGGAAGCATTTTTTACTCTTCCAACTACAGAAAGCAACAATTCCTTAAATTTGCAAAAGGTTGTTTTACTCAACCAAGGAGACTGAGGGCAGCCTGAGGAATGCTGCCCGCCAGTGAATTCTGCACCCCTTTCTCCCACACAGTAACTGCAGAAACTTGGCCTCCCCCCGAGACTACGCTATAGCATATTTAATCTGTCAGCCCACAGTCTTCCTCATAATTCCCTGTTAATTTTTCCATCTGAATTCCCAAGTACATTGCAAACAGGATTGTGACTTTGATAAGACCGTGATAAACCCATGAATAACTACTGACATAACTCCTCAGCTTTCAGGACATTTTGGGGTATGTTAAACACCACTCACCTAAACCCAAAAGCTGAGAAGTCGCCTGAAAGTTAACAGCTGTGCAATTTGCCAAAGTACAAACACTGATCCCTGTGCATCAAAACTGTCCTCACAGCACAGATATTTAGACACTTTAAAAAGAATAAAAAGACAAAAACAAAAGCAAGGCCACACAAATAAACATTCCCATTTTACAACACAGAGGCATGAAAAAAAAAGCCCTTTCTCATATGCTAATATAGCATGGTTTTCACATTCAACCAGGTATCTGTCAGAAACCCCCTTCAGCTTGAAAGCACAAAATTTCATTTTTATGCTGGTCACTCCACTGAATTTACAGTTGGATTGACAAGCAAGGTGATTAGTGCTGCAGCTCATTTAGAGCAGCCCACTGCTAACGGCACCGAGCAGATTCTGATCTCAGAAAAGGCCAAGCTCCAGCATTAAATAGTTCCACAAGTTTTCAACTGAAATCAAAGCAGCAACTTCTCTCCTAATACAATCCTGCTGCAGCTCCTAAAACTGTGCTGTTAGAAACAGGGTTTTTTTATTTCCCAACTAGTCTGCAATTTGTGTTGGTGTTGATCTCCAAATTTCTCCGCAAAATGACACAGATAGGATTTTGTACTTCTTTCTCAAACACTTCGCAAGGTTAAAGAGACTGCTGTCTCAGCAGGTCATGAAGCTCCTGATTCATGCCTGGAGAATAGTGCGGGATAATAACTATTTCTACTGTCTTGGCACCCAGGATAGTGCACTAAATAAACTTCAGGATGCAGACATCTCAGCAGTTGAAGAGTTCAGGGAATTGAACTCCGCAACACAAAGGAAGAAATATTTACCTGTCAAGTCATCAATTAGAAAAATTTTTGAATGAAAGTGCATCGGTTTCAACCTGTTTGAATGCTAATATCTATCTTACTCTCCCAACATCAAAACTCTATCTTAACAAGTTAGAGATGCTGAAAATTATTAATCTGCTCCCAAATGGTATGTCCATTTTTGACTGTTCCTATTTTGAAGCAGATTTATGGTTTTGCTAAATTCATGCATTGCTAAATCCTGTACACAGTGAACTCCCACATCTCTCCTTGGTAACTCCTCATTTTTAGTGTCTAAAATAAAAACTCAATTTGACAAGCAAAAAAAAAAAAAAAAAAAACAACCATGAAGAGCAAACCAAAATCCAGACATTTAACAACATTTATTAGCTTGTCACAATAGAAACCATTTTCTTTGACTTCAAAGTCTATATGCTACCCAGCATCCAAGTCACACAAGCAAAGTGGGCATTGATTAGAAAATAGCAAATTAAGGACCATCTTCAAACCCAGAGCATGAATGGGTATACTAACAGTAAGTTATCATGGCTGCTGGTACAGTGACTTCTCATCAGCAATTAATACCTGAGGAACAGCATCGATTAAAATTGGTATATTTGCTCTCTGACTCTTGTCTCCAGAGGAGAAACATACAGGATATTAAAAAAAAAAAAAAAAAAAATCTAAATTTTTATACAATCCAGAAGGAAACTTATTAAAAGGATGGAGACATCCATTCCTTTTCTGTACATATATTTTGAAGTATCCCTCTTACGCACATAAGACAATTGCAAATACTGAATTCAGCTTCTGATTCCATCTCAAATTTCAGATGCACTCTGCGTGACTGATTTGGCTCACCTTGCCCTAGTCACAGGATGCAGGAATTCTGTCTCAAAGCAGTGCTGTCCCTCTTTTCTGTAAATACAAGTATCACTGCTGAAATAAGCAGCTGTCAAATACTGCCACAGCAGAAGCCTCATAGGTTTTATCATCTATTTACCATTAAAAGCTCTTTAAGATGTTACATAAAGATATACTAATCCTTTCTCACTCTTCATTCT